TATATAAGCACATCAAAAATCGCTTACGAAAGAATATAAGCCCAGGGCTTATAGTCGGAGGTTCACAGTATATGGTTATTGTGATTGATTTTGAAAATTTGAAACAGACTATAAAAACCTAGGCTGTGGAAACATTTTTGAAGGCCTAGGGGCAAATTCCATACTGAAGACAGATGATGGAAATTTAGAGACATGTCACCATCATAACTCACCAAAGATGAAACCAAAGCATTGCTCGACACACTGTGACTTTTGTCTACGATGGCTTGTTTCATGTATCGTTCAATAGCTTGCAACATCGTAGCGTCAGTGATCATACACAAAGCACGGATAGCGTTAGCACAATACGCTTCCTCCCGACCAGTCATATCTTTGGTCAAACTACTGGTGACAATGATCACATCTTCAGCAACTGTCGAGAGTTCTTTTATGGCAAGGTAAACCATTCGACGCAACATTGGCTGAAAACCAATGGAATAAATCAATTCTGGCTCTTAAGTGCTTCACTCCTCCTATTTTTTAACCCTAACGCCTAACCCCTGCCGAAGCTTTGCTCAGTGGCGCCGCTTGCACCACACTAGAAATTTTTCCACCCCACCTTTAAAAAAATGAAAATCCGGCCACCCTTAATTTGATGCGTGTGATCAACACAGGATAATCAACATGTTAAACAATTTCTGGCATGGGTGACAATTTCCTCTAAGCGTGCGCACAGGAAAAGCAAACAGCTTGCAATATTAGGCAAATATACATGTGTAACCAGCAACCACAACACTACTTGCCGCCATTTTGTTTTGTAAGACACAATTAAGCTTTACATACATCTTTGGACTGGAAAAGTTTGGTCATTGCAAAAAATGCTTCCGTTGCCTCTGTTGTCCCAAACTGCTGACCCTAAAAAAATATATGCAATAATATTATGTAGTAATGAGTGTCAATATTACTGTAGTTATAATATAAAAAATGTATAATTATCACTCATTTCACATACTTGGTTTAAGAGATACAATATCTTGGTCAGGATATGAATGCATCTTCTGGGATTGATTGGACTTTCATTAAATGTTCTTGCCTGAAATAAGAATGATGAAATGGAAAGAGCATATTAAAACAAGCTGTATATAATTCATGTGATAATGGTGCATAAGTGGTGTATTAGACAGATCATGTATCAAGACAGACTTGTGTACACACAGGTATATGCTGAGTCAGAAGAGACCAAAGTTTTGCTATCAGTGCTAGAAATAAATATTACAGAAACTTGATGGTTATGTAGGGCTCAAAATAATGGTCAAAATGACTGGTCAACTTGATTTAAGCTTGGTCGAAATCTGTTTTTGACCGGTCATTGATACACTTACACTAACACTAACAGTGAAACAGACTATTAAATGTCCTAACTCAATGTCCTAAAATAACCCCAAAAAAATCCGCTATTAATGCTATTCAGGCCAGTCCATCTACAGGGCTATATGCAGCAGTGGGTACATGGTGGGGGTATTGGGGGCAACTATGGTTATCCCTGTCCATCTAGATCGTTCATCTTGTATTTACTTACAGTCAATTTCACAAAACTTATCCACAAATGTTCTGAACTTCGTTGCAAAGTTCGCTGCGAAGTTCGGAAGTTCATATTGGAACTCACAAGCCAATTTGTAAACAAAGTACCTGAGTAAAAGAAGCCAATCAAATGCGTAGTTTACAAACTGGTTTGTGAATCTCATTATGAACTTTTGAACTTCGCAACGAAGTTCGGGACATTTGTGGTTAAAGTTTCGTGAAATCGACTATAAAAGGACGATCCGTCAGGTTGACAAGGCACATTGACGAGTTATCAGTGTTGTACAAATCACTTATACATTAAATACAAAGGGGGCCATTGTTAATACCAATACCAAAATTATAGCTGTAGCCACCAGTATTGTGCATTTTATATCAGTGCATCAGACTATTGCCTTTGGTGGTAGCTTCATAACAATACAAAGACAATCAACAAAAGTTTTAAATATCTGTTCACCTCCTGAAGAGCTGTAGCCTTGTCCAAGCCTTGGAAAGGGTTCGACCCTCGACCTTTTAAAATAAATTTTAATAAACAACACTGTTAATTTTCAGACGCAATTTAAAAATTTCTATCCATTTTATAAGTCAGAGATGTAATAAGACGTACCGTCTTCCTCGTCCTTCTTGTCTTGCCGTAAATAATGCATTTTCAAGAGAGAAAATCGCAAAAAAGTTGGAAAAATTTCACAAAATTTGATCAAGATTCGAACTTTTCGTCTGCCACGCAATCCTAGTGCCAGACCTCTTTCGAACGCGCTTCGTCAATATGGAGCTTTTCAACAATGTGCGACGCCATCTTAGTAGCGCAGTGCATGGTGGTTATGGACATGACCATAGATATAGGACAACAATCGCAACACACCACACATACATATACATACATACAAAATTTTATTTAGACCACGCTAGCCTCAACAGCCGTTGGAAGGCTGGTTTCCATGAGGGGCGTGAAATACCTATTTACAAGAAATTATTAACTAAAAGCTTTGCAGTAATAAATTTACGTGGTGTTTCCACAAACAAAAACAATTATATTTTATCGCCATGCAAACATTCAAAGAACTTAAATTATTAACTATTTACAAGAAATACAAAATATAACAAAAAAAAATACAAGTGATTTTAGCTGCACAATTGCACACAAGCAAATTTCAACTCATTCTTTGTTTCAATATCGATTTGAAAGAGCTTAAAGGTGATCTACAGTCCGATCTGCGCATGTGCACAAATGAGCCCACTTTTTCTACACATTTAACTTGAAAAGCCTAATTGTTGTTTCTTGATCATTTATAATACTCTAGAAGCTTGAAAATATAAATAGTCGTCGAATAAAGCTCAATATTTTGGACACAAAAATGTAAACAAAGGCTTTGTTTACATACGGACTGTAGATCACCTTTAAGGATTCAGCAATTTTTGCTTCATGTGGAAGATTATTCCAATGCAAGGCACCATTAGAACTGAAGCACCTCTTGCCGAATTCTTTTTTCGGCATAGGTGGTGCTAAATCAGTATCCCTATTTCTAAGATTGTAAGTATTATGTCTTTCATTATTAAATTGAAGTGCTTCTTTAAGACTGGGTGCGGTGTGGCCATTTAGAATTTTATAGATGAAAATAGATTTAAGATAATTTCGTCTTTCTTTCTATACCGGATTTCGATACGGAATGCAGTACAACTTTCAGAAGTCGAACGAAACAACATCTCTCCGTTGCAATAATTCCTCTGAAAATAGCGTTCCTAAAAGGCATCGTTGCTACTGGAAGCTATCCGGTACGCTGTAAAAATAGCCTTAGTCTTTCCAATTTATGATGTGTTTCAGGGCTCATCCTAAGAAAAATTTAGAAAGGGTCCTGTGTCATGCTCCCTCGGAAAAATTTGGAATTGTAGAAGTCCAGAATGGCCATTTTCTGCGTTTGCAGAGTGACAATCGTTTTTGGTTTTGCATTAAATATCTGTATGGGCGCTTAATCTATAACTAATTTTCATATAAAGCTCGAAAACTTAATTTTGGAACTGCCCATTTTAAGTTTTAGAACTACACATTTTACATTTAGAAGTAGCCATCTTGGAAAATGGGAGGTGGGCCTTATGATGACCCCTGATGTGTTTACTGAGAAGAGGCGAACAAGAAGTATTATATTAAATGTTTGTTCTTGAGTAATTTGTTCATGAGCAATTTCAGATAAATTTCTAGGTGCTTGAAGCTGATTTTCAGATAAATTATAACAGCATTGACAGCAGATACTGCAATGCAAAAAATTGATGATCTATGAAGATAAAAACTGTAAAATCGCTTGTGAAAACTGTGTACTGCATCTTGTTTTTCGTAGTGATGAATTCTAGTAAGTCTTAGAAAAAGCCGTCTGCACTTCAAACCATCATAACCAAACTCTTGTAACTCGCGAAGCCCTTGTCCTTAGTATGTTGTCGGCACTTCGCCTTTTCAACTCACGAACACCTGCCATAACAAGCTAGGTCTCTCTCCTTTTCACACATTTGACTCCATCAAATTCGTGATGGAAAAACTCAATGCTTGTGAGGTGGGTTTTTACAAGGTGAAAAGTTCGCGTGGGTCAAAATACTTTTTTCTGGTTCTACTATAGGCCAACTTTTTGAACTTAAAACGTATTAGGGTGGAGGGTGTTACACGCCCCCCCCCCTCACACACCCCCCACCCCCCGGCAGCAACGTCCCTGAAAAGACGTGTCAGAAAACTAAGCCGAAATAACAATCTTAGTTGTTCAAAAATGATCGCAACCCAAATATTTCTCGGTCAGAAAGAGTAGTATTGCTCACCGTCTAGAACGTTGCATTTCCTACTTTGTCGGTTGGCGTGAACCATTGTGTGAACTGTGCCCTTTTCCGAGAAGCTGCCCCCGACCTCCTGCTTGCGTGCGCGTATCAAGGTGCACACACGCGTGCATGGTGTTTATCTCAAGCTGTCAATATCTTCATAATAAATGCATTCGTTCCTTTTGTACTCTTAATATGAATTTCTAAATCGCTTTGAAATTAAATGTCTGATCTACATGCGTGATGGACTTGCCATAAACCAAAATGCTTTCATCCATAACACAGAAAAACGTCAAGTTTGCCGTGGCTTCGTTTGAGCAGGAGGAATATGCCATTGCTTGGCATGAAATCGATCCTACAGCAGGTAAAATTTCTAACACAAAATTTACTCATTAATTTTCTATACGCAAATAATCAAACACTACTTAGAAAGCTCAAAGCAGGCGCTTTGCAAACTGATAATGCGATACACGTTAATTTTACTTTTTTGCTTTATTCTGTGATAAAACTAGTCGGGGAAATATGAGATTGAAAAAGTTGCAAATACATGTAGTGTATATTTCGATTAGTTTGCCGTTTCAAGTCGGCTATGCATGTCGGTGTAATTTATGCGTCGAGGGGACCCGTTTATTTCGAGAGTTTAGTTGATGGCAAAGACAACTGAAATATGAAAACGTCGATAAAGATTATACAATAATGTTTTCCACAATTCCTATTCGGTTATAGAATGAAATTTACACAAAAGTATATTTTAATTTTTCGCAGTTGATATAGGCAGTGTTTTTCTCTGCAATTATGTATTGCTGATGTTTTATTTGTCGAAGGCAATTCATTAAGTTGCGAATAGACAGGCGAAATTAAACAGAACGTTGATCGACACTGACTATAAACATGCATCGTTGAATGTGGAAACATAGTATACATTCTTTTTTGCCATATGTTGCGCGGAATGCTAAAATTTGCGCGCTACAAATGTGGTTCAAATTCCGTGTCAATTACTACCAGAATAGGACTAATTCTTTCGGGCCTTTGGAAACACATTGTCAACTGCGATAAATTGACTCGTTTAAGGGTTTCGAAACAAAAAAGGGAGCTCATTTGCTGTCCTACGTGACCTCAGTGAAACGGGGTTTTTTAAACTCTGTTGGAAATGCAATTTACAAATAGATGAAAAGATAGATAAGCGACACATTGCATTGGCATTGCAACCTGCCAACTTAATTCTAGTTGCCTATTTTCATATAATAACTCGCTATTTGAATATGTAATAAGTTTAGTTTAAAAGCAATTTGGTTTGCGGGGAACTGCACCGATGACTGTTAAACTTAGAAGTTTTAATTAAAGCAATTGTATCGGAGACAAAATAGACCGGTTGGCGGTTAGTTTATCTGGGCTTATGTTTGAAACTATGCTGGGCTTTAATATTTTTTCTTTAAAGCTAGTACAAAACTCATGAATCTTTACCGAACAATATGATAGACTAGCATCCACTTTTAGTCATCAGTTTACTTCAGTGTTAATTGAAAATACTAATCAAGTGCAAAAAGTTTAAATAAAACTGACATCGGCATGCACAGAGAGCTTTATTAAATATGAAATATATACATACAGTATTCAAATATTCAATACAGTTATGCACGATACAATGACAGCAAAACAGCCGGTAAATATTCATGCATGGTAATAGGTCAATTAGTCACAAATTTGACTAGCCGTTTTTTCGACGAAGCATATCGTATACTACTTTCTACATTTCAAACAAAATTATCTGGCTATATGTGGAATTTCCGAGATACCGGGATTATGAAGACTATAAAGGAAGGTGTACTACTTCAACACCTACACAAGCTTAAAGTTTAAGATCACAAAAAGAGTATAAATTGACCGAACTGCTTTAAAAATATAGGTGATACGACGAACTTGGAAAGTAAAAAAAACAAAACAAAATAGCTTGTATGAATATTGTGCATAAGATTATCCTAAGGCTACTGGCTAAGACCGGCTACACTGATGCGTAGCTCGTCTGAGCCATAGAAATCTTATCTACACTAGATAGCGCATCTCTTTTAGTTCTCTCTGGAGCTTGAAATAAACAGACGTGCAGATGATTCATAAACTATAAAACAGCGGATTAAACTTTACCCGAGGGTTAGCGCTAACCAAAACCTTTGAACAACTGGCCCCTGAGCACTAGCTGGCACAACTAAATTGAACTAATCACCGCACAAAAGAAAATGCTACGATACTCGGTTGAAGTAAAAAACTGATTATAGTGAGCTCACTGCTCAAGCAATGCAAGGGATGTTTTTGTCAACACGCAGACTAGTCCCTAGTCCTCTGCGCACGCCTTTGATTTCCGTGACGTCACAGAGCCATCACCTTATTAATATGCAGAAACGCGCAATAGGCGTACGGGAAATTGATGCCCCAACACCCGATTTGACTGTCAATTTCCCGTGCGTAATACAAAATGACTGAAAAACGGCAAACTTCACAAAGCTATATTATTCGCATTTTACAACATTTCGCAACGAAACTTTGTAATATTACTAATTTGGTGATGCTCTTTCAAGCTGTGATGAAATTTTTGTCTAGATCAAAATTTAGTCTATAATGCAAATGGTCCATTGTAGATCTAATAGCTGTAGACAGTCTGTGTTAGGTGTAGTGGACTGGAATACATTACGCTCCATTAGGAGATCAAAGAGTTGGTGATCAGTGGCGTATCGAGAGTTCGAGACTATTCCAAGAGGGGGTGGGGGCGAAATTCCGGTCGTATAAATGGTGTTGACGGGGGGGGGGCGACGGGTGAGGAATTTTCGGAACATCGCTTACCAACATCGACCAACTCAATTTTATCGACAAGTCACGTTTTCCCTACATAATCTCTATTTTACCAAGGAGTTTGGAAAAGTAGGGGGAGGGGAGGGTGTGTGTAGCAATGTACGTAGATGCGACCAAAATTGAGAGAGACCTGTTTCCCACATTAGCCGGACTCTTCGATCGCCAATGTTGTCAAATTTCTCAAGGTAATGACTGAATCCCACTTGACGAAAGCCTATAGAGACATCTGTCTGTCGCTTTCAATTGTTAAACGGCAACAATTAAATTAAAAGATACTTAAACAGTAAATCAAATGACGTGTTCTCAACCTCGTCCCGTCAAGGCGCGAAATGGCCTCCTCTGCATTGGCCCTGGGGACGATGTTGGACATATTCTGTCTTCAGTATTCCCGTTTTTGGGATGCCCACAGCCCACTGCATAAACAGCGTGCTATAAATGAGATATTTTTAGAATCAAAATTGCGTATGACGTCATTGTGACGTCACCATGGATATTCCTTACCAATCTTTAATTGAATGACTAAAACGGTGCGCTTCGTTGCCAAAGAAACACGGTCAGTTTGGACTGTAAATAACTAATTCAGCGACATTTAAATCGCCACGCACTTGGACAATTCAGTGGGCGAAATTAATGCAATTACGTCACAGAATTATTCAGTGAAGAAAATTATGTGAAAGTGACCCGATATTTTAATTGCATGCAGTAAAAGTAATTCTTTTACCGAATCACATTAGATGCACGGAATTGATATGTTCAAATCAAACAGCACAGTAGACGTAGTATGGAATAATATTTTCGAATGCTATTACAATTTGTCACTACACTTTTCATCTGAACTGTCAAGAGACAAAGTCTGCCATGTTCTCAGGAACAGTCAGCACTAAATTTCAGTAGCGTTCTGTAAAGCGTTCAATCTATAAAGCATAACCTTGAACCTATAAGATATACATCTCAATATTTCATGAGACCACACGAAGTTCTTAAAAGCCACAAAGTCGCTTAAAGCTTCGACCTTTGGAACTTTCCATTTAAATTAATACTCGTTTTTATGCTTTTTCTTTGTGATAACTAGGAACAAGGGTTCCTCCTTATTAACCGCAGCGCCGGCCGTTTTGTGCTGTGAATGTTTTCCAGTACAGTAGAGTGAATTAAGGCACATTTCCACTCAAGAAAATTTTCCGCGGAAAGAAAAACTTGTGAAATATGATTGGCCGACACAAATCAGTTTCCGTCGAAGAAAAATTTTGAAGTTGGAAATTTTCAACTTTTAACAATAATATTTTCGGAAAATTTTCTGTCCGTGGACTGTAATTTTTCTTGAGTGGAAATGGACTTTTAACTTGTCGGCCTGAATAAGCTTGACAAGTATTATTTCTCGCATGAACAGATATTTTATAAACTAGGAATTCATCTAGGATTCGTCAATTATATCTTCAAATTAAATGCTTCAATGTTGCAATACTGTGGCCACAACATCAACATTTGCACGTGCTTTTATCAACTCTGCTTATTTATCTTCGTTGATAATCAATATAAGTACGTTGTCATTTGAAAATGCAAATGTGTGGCTTGTATTGCTCAACTCACTTCTCTCAGAAGAGATGTGCATCAATTAGATGTACTTTTATAATAGTCTGTATATTAGTCCACTTCTAGACAGTTGTTTATTGTTCTCTTATAAATTTAAGGGCATATGCCATATAGCACTATAGGTTATCTTATAATAGACCTGAAATCTCGCCTGCCATTTATGAAATATTTCGTAAAAAACGCATGACTACACATTCTTGATAAATTACCGGCGTTGAAAAGTTTTTGTCTAAATTTCGTTTTATTTTTAAAAAGTCTGTGCTAGTTTAAACAAACCTATACTATATGATTTTCATATATTTTACTATTAAATATCATTCGTTATTAAAATGACTTGAATCCTTGCCTGCCATTTGATTTATGATTTATTTCGTGAAAACACACAACGTCAACGGAAGATAGTTGATAGACCGTTGAAAGATTTTGTCTATAGAACATGTTTTTTTCTCACGTTTTTTTTGGTGGTTTAGAATAATACATAGTTTCCTTGTTTTCATTCATCTAAGCAAATATTAAAGCCAAACCTATAGAGTATAGGCTATACTCTCCAGTCCTAGCGAACATCTGTTCCGTATTGTAATTATTTTTTCATGCATCTTTCGTCACCAAGCTACAGCAAGCAAACGTCGTATCGGTGACAAAAGCAGACGGTCTAATCTTAATTAGTCCGTGAAGTTGCGAGTGAAATTTTCGCCAACGGCTTGGCAAGCCCTGAAAGATTACATCGGTTTTCCGGGCATAAAAAGCCGCTAAGTAGCAATATGGCTTGCTGCCTAGCGCTTAAGAGGAAAGCCAAAGTAGTTACGGAGGATATTTTCGAAGATATCGAAGCAGAAGATGACTTCGGTGAGTGGATTTGAAATGTTATATGTGATTTATTTTAGGCTATCATATTGGCGTCAGATATGGCTTGCGAATGCAATATTCTTAAAAATGTTTCAATTTTTCGGCGCAGATTTTCTAGAACAAAAGTGTAGAGAGATTCGATGTCTTGCGATTGCATACAAAAGTGAAGTAATCGAGAGTTTAGACATTCACAAGTGGGCATGTAACTTAACATTGGCTGAGATGAGCCTGGAGCATAATATTGAAAGCAGAAATTGACTTTATTCATATTTTCGCTTACGAAATCTTTTCAGGAACGAAATGTAACAAGGTGTACATTTTTGCCCGGTAGTATTGTCGGGAAAACAGGCACTTTTACGACGAATGTATGCGTTGTAATCGACGCATATGCGATATGGCCCTCAGTTGCATAAAATTTGTTATAAACAGGCCGGTCTCAGCAGGGAGCTGACATAGACAGACTTATTCCTCGTTTTGCATTCATAAATTGTAGACTGGTGTTTACACAAAAAGATAAATACTGCATTTCTAATTTTTGTTAGGCCATACAAGACTTTACAGCCAGCTACTTGCGCAATTGTTATGAATGAATTCCGAGACATTATTCGCAACTTTTTAATTTTTTTTGGGATGTACAGCATCCACTCAATCCAACATGTGTTTAAGCAATTTTCAATTCAGCAATTAAAATCGTTGTTGATATAGAATTCCACCTGAGCAAATGACAGCCAAGCAAGAATGGAAAGATAGCGGCTTACAAATTAGTCGCAAATGATTGGCTGGGTTTGTTTTTATTGTATTTGCATGTAGCCAGAGAAAAGGACACGTTTCGTCGACGTTGCACATAAGCTGAAATCGCGTCGGTCGTTTTACACACTAACACACTCGACAAAAACCCACATCAAATAAAAAATTTTAATCTTAGTTTTTAACACGCTTTATTTGCACAACACTTGAACATGCTTTTATTTATATATACTGGTAGTATTGATTTTCAATATTGTTATTGATTGATTATATTTTGCGTAATTACAACTTTTCCAATGACTTGGAAAGTTTTATCTTTGAATATAATTTATTCTTATCTTTTGTTTAAAAATATCAAAGCGTATTACATGTAATGTTTTGTAATCACGGAAAATCGCCTTTTTATAGATAAGCCATATTGCACACCAATAATATATTACAAATAAAACTGGGGGCTGAATAAAATGCAAATAAAATATATAGTCAGGTATAGTTTATGCATTCGGTAAATAGACAATACAGATCATTTCAACCGAAAGGACGACATTTTGATAGCAATGAATGCATTGTGGTCAAAGTTGGTCAAATATTGTGGGCCAGTATCGAAACCATAATGCACCACGATTCAAATTGGTGTGGAAACTGTCGAAAAGCTTCATTTTCCGCCCTGAATATAATTTATGGAATAAATTATATTATTCACCACATATGGCGCAAATATTCGAACAATGAGATTTGCTATGCAAATTGTTTCTGCCGTTCCCGAACAGTCTGTAAGTGCAAGTGTCGGGAACGAATTTCAGACATAAAATTTTGGGAAAATAAACAGGCTGGATGTAACACAAAACAAAGAATAGGCATTTGCAGTCTTCAGGGAGAATATTCAAGTACTTATAGCTGGGAGAAACAGAATGGGTGAACGTTTTAAGAGGTTAAAAAAATGGTTCGCTCGAAGCATTCTTGGTCAACCGATCGACGAAGATGAATACGATGTCGAACCAGGTTTGCTGGGCTAAATTTTTAAATCGCTGTACTTTGATAGGTGCAGTTGAAACTATTTTGATTTATTTGAAAAGAGTTAGTGTATTGTTGTTTTGCTTTTAAGTCGTCACACGACACAGGTATTGTTTCAAGTCCAAAGGCAGTTGAGTCAAGTGGCAAGTGCATCGTTCGTTTATTCATAAACATATATCTGGCCACTTGGCACAATGAAATCATAATTGAATTTGTCGATTGTTCAATTTAAAAACCTTGTATAGACAGACGCATACAGTGTAAATAATATATACAGTTATTAAAACAGCGCACAGAAATTAGCTGTATTTATATTAAAACGAAGACACATACTGTACTAGTCAATATTTACAATACAATGCAGAACCATCATTGAAAATCGAAATATATAATTTAATACGTTGTTCCCCTGGGAGTTTGACATTGATATAGTACAGTACTATTTTTTAAAACGACATATTACTGTGTGTGAAATCCTTAAGTAAATATAATTGGCTTAGGAAGGCGAAAAACGATGCTAATGTTATCAGCATGTCTGCCAGTATGAGCTCAGAGTATACATTGTATGTGGTATGTGCGAGCTACGTGTACTTAAAACCGTACTTGCTTTGTGCAAATAACGCCGGTTTTCAAGCCAAAATGATAACAGAAAATCGTATAAAACATGCGTTATGGTGCAGACATTAAAGTTTCGCTTGGGCTTTCGGGGAATACGTTTATATTTACGGAATGTAGGATGTTTAGATAGATTTCTATCACCAACCATATTACTGCATAGTTTTGCTGAATGAAATTAATTACCCGCAAATGTTTGCATAAATTTTAGATGAGCTTCGCGGTTTGATTGGTTAGTTTGCCCAAATGCGCTCATCTGATTGGTTCTTGCTAATTTGCTTTCTTCAAGCTATATACGCTGTTTGACCTCCCACTCGCTTCGTTGTCAAATACCAACAATCAAATCGCGGAAGTTGTTTGATAATTTTCGCTTTGAAAAGCCTTCGGTAAATAATTGAATAAAAGGAAACACACAGTAACATCATGTAGAAATTGTTGCGGATAATCTCTGTTTGATTATCGTTTTTGTCGCTTTAATGGAGTTGCAAATACCGACCGGACTTACTGACATGCTGCAGGAATTTACTGTTGTCGTGCTCCGCGAAAGACCCGACGACATGGTTGATTTCGCTGCGAATTATTTTACGCAGTTAAAACTGCTAAACAAAGCAAGTGGGAACACGAAAGGGGTGTCATTTCATTCAGACAAGAAAGCGTCTGACGAGGAAGATGACGAGGAAGAACCCTTAGGTAGTTTTTGAGTTGAAAAAATTTAGTTGCCGCTATGACATTTGTAATTTATGCAAGTCAATGTTGTATCAACTTGTTGTGTATTTGTACGCGGTTGTCGGCGTTTGTCCCATTGTTAACCACATTGTAAACAGCTTAGTCTTTTCTAATTATCATATAAATATATTAAAAACAACCTACACGCACAGCTCCGGGATGTTAAAACTACAAAATTTACAATGTCTTTTCTCTTTGTAGAACCACCGAAAAATAGATACGTCAGGAGGCAGTCAGGTGCGTGGTTTTCCAGATTGGGTTTACATTCTTTTTTCATTTGCGTTCAGTGGCGAAGCCAACCCGACAATTTGGTCATGCTATGCAAATTTTAAATCATTCATTGATTGTTTTCACGGTCTGTGAACACAGAAATATTTGCATAGCATGATCAAATTGTCGGTAGCTGGCTTTGCCACTGTTTGCATTTAGATAAAAATTAACTCAACCCTCATTGAAAAAAATGGGGAAAACTGTATATTCCCAATGGCAATGAGAGTCCCACCCACCCTTTATTATTAAGAAAAGTTAGAATGGACAGGTTAGGTTATCTAATGTAGGTTGGTAGTAAAGCGAAAAATATGCTATGTGAAAAATAACCATTATTCCACACCCTGCAAAACATTCCACACCCTGCAAAATTGTGGACACTCAAACTAATGAATCGATTTGTTTTTTCAACAGTTTCAGCTGAACCTCTCGCTCCATCAGACGAGGAGGATGATGAAGAAGAGAAAGTATGGCTTTCATCACACATAGCCCTCAGACCAAATAAGACTAGTTTCCCCACGCACATTGCTGATCTACTATTGTCTTGCATCATTCATTATTAGACCTATGCAAGGCTCAAGAGGCATTTGCAGATAGTCTTGTTAACTCATTAAAGTGCAAGACTCTCCCCTTGATGAGTAAAATCCTCTCATGTTAGACAGAGTAAAATATTAACCCACTGAGCACCAGCACTCTCCCATTGACAAGTAAAATCGCCTGGCATTAGAAAGAGTAAAATAATAAAGTAGGGCACAATGCAACTTAACAGGTTAATCTTTTAATTTTTCTCGTTAATATTTCCCCCCTTTTATCATACAAAATGAACTACAAAAAGGTAAAGGGTTCCATTTTGGTGCATTGCAATTTAATGGGTTAATCTGTTACTTATACTTGCCGTTGCCGTCACTGCTATATGATTATTTTGTTTTATTAAACCTACATAAAAACCAAGTATTTTTCTTTTTAAGATCGTTTATCCTAAAACAGACCAACAAAGAGTCAGACTGAATGAAGCAGTTCAAAACATATTACTTTTTAAAAATCTGGAACGTGTAAGTAGTCTAAGAATGAAAATAACGAAATGAATTAAAAGCCATTACAGCTGCAATAGACCTTTCCCCTTTTGAGTGAAATTTTGATCTAGACAAGTCTGGACAAAAATTTCATCACAGCTTGAAAGAGCATCACAAAATTAGTAATGTTCCGAAGTTTCGTTGCGAAATGTTGTAAAATGCGTTTAATATAGCCTTGCGAAGTTTGCCGTTTTTCAGTCATTTGGTATTACAAACGGGAAATTGATAATCAGATGATCAAATTGATGCAAAATGTTAGATTGTAATGCAAAATGACTGAAAAACTTCGCAAGGCTATATTATCCGCATTTAACAACATTTCGCAACGAAACTTCGGAATATTACTAATTTTGTGATGCTCTTCCAAGCTGTGATGAAATTGTTGCCCAGGCATATCTAGATCAAAATTTCACTCATAAGGGGAAAGGTCTATTTATATGCATCTTGTTGCTTCTCTCTGACAGGAACAACTGACAAGAGTGCTCGATGCGATGTTCGAGAGAAAAGTCACACCTGATGATCATGTAATTGATCAAGGGGACGACGGGGATAATTTTTATGTTGTCGATAGGTAAGCAGGCTGCAAACAGTATGATCATTGTTGCTAATAAAAATGTTTTTTATGAAAATGTTTTTGTACATTCTATTTTTACAGTGGTACCTATGATATATTTGTAAAAATAGATGGCGTTGACAAAAATGTGAGTATAATTGTTTGAATTTTCCTTCAAGAACAAGTCATTTGTATGCAAGTCTGCCATATCTTGCTGTTGCGAGTTTAGGCGATAGCAAAATATGCCATGACTTCCTAGTAACTTATGAACCTTGTACTTTAGGTGGGTAGCTACAACAACAAAGGAAGTTTTGGAGAACTGGCACTTATGTATAATACACCAAGGTATTTTGAAGATTTACAGTTTTTTTACCATGGCATGCATCAACAATAGAGGTTGAAATTTTTAACATTTTAGAAATTTTTTTACTCGCCCGAATGGCCACCAGGGCATAAGATCTGGTCGCCAATTTTAATATCAGGTTTCCTTACAATTAAAATGTTATGCAATATTCTCTTTGTATATAAAAGCGTAAAGGTATTCTCTTTGTATATAAAACAGTTGTTTAATATGTTGAATTATATGCAAAAGGAATATGAAAGGAATATGAAAATGAAATGCTTGTGTTACTAGATATTTGTGAGATATTTTAAGGCTTTAGAATTATTTTATCATTTGAATTTCTTTTTCTAAGTCGCCACATAGGTTACCAAATATCTGGTCGCCAGTTTAAAAACTTGGTTCAGCAAGCAAACTTCTCAACCCAAGGACGATACAAACCTTGGAATTTTTTAATCAGATTGTACCTTCCAGAAAATTTTAACAAACTCTAGAAATTAATTCAAATATCGAGAGCCAATGGATCCTTGATGTCAATATCTACCAGTTCACTCAAAATAACATGTTTTCTGCAAGATCACCTCAGTCTGCTTAAAGGGACCTTATTTTCTACTATTCCCATTTAGGGCGGCAACCATTGTTGCAACCTCGGATGGTATTCTGTGGGCATTGGTATGTAGTCAATTTTGAATTAATAAAGTTATTTAATTTTTAAATATTTGTTCAACTGTGATGAATGATTACAAGTTTCCCACACATTTATTTCTAAATTTTAGGATCGCGTAACGTTCAGGAAAATCGTTCTGAGAGCAGCATCCAAAAAGGTACTGGCCGTTGCATTGGCTGTCAAATTTAATGATTGCTTCAACTTTTAATTTTTTGTTTCATTTTTAGAGGAAAGCATACGAAGCGCTGATCGAAAAAGTCCCCATGCTGTCAGAGATAAACGTAATTATTCCTTATCATTAAAGGGGCCCTACAGTAATTTTTTAGTCGAAAAGCCACCTTAAGTATTGTTTACATTTTTTTGTTATTGTCGCTACTTGACATGCGCACCACGGCAGGCATGCGTCTTCCGGTCTGCGGAAGTACTCATACTCATGGATACTGCATGTAAGATACAGCCAAACGAATCTCTGTGGAGTCCCCTACTTAAGGTGGCTTTTCGACTAAAAATTGACTGTAGGGCCCCTTTAACATGCAAAGCAACACGTCATAGATCATATCGACCGTTACCATTGTATGTTAGACGAACCATAATTTAATTGCCTAGTTTGTACAGTCAGATCATCAACCTGTAGTTCAAGAGCAGGCTTATTACATTCTGCCATATCGTTTACATGGAATGCCACTCTGGTTAATTAATAGCGACCTTAGTCTGGTTCACATATGCGGTATGTCGGCGGGCTATTGTCGTTAGCAGTTCAAACAATGATAGCGCAGGCACGTGTGAACCAGATTTTATGCCTGGTTTCGTCCTAACGGTCGTAAAGATTGAGTCACGATCTTTCTCATCAGCCGAAATACAACATTTTAGAACTGAAAATACGCGGAGTGATTATAACTAGAGAATACTCGTGATTTATATGTGGTTTACAGGTATAAACTATTATAAACTGGCCGTTGAGAAAGCTGTAGTCAGTAGCGAACTACCTTTGTTCAAAAGTAGCAGTAGTTGTAGCCGACTACATATTTTTGAAGTAGCTGTAGTTATAGCGAACTACAAAAATTTTGTAGTCAACCCACCCTTGCCGGAGATAGGGCTTTTGTTCACATATGAAATGTTGTTATCATCTCAGTTTCTGCAACGAACCGGTGGTACGGCGGTTTGTTCTTCGAAGTGGTGCGCGGTATATCGGATTAGTTTTCGCAACGCTCACATTCTAATGTAACGGCCAATTGTAGCAATTCCGGGTTCAATCATGATTCAAGATGGCTATTCTAACCTTATTTACGGGTATAGCTTGCTCACGCTTTCAAATGACGTCTGCGATTCTTTTTGTTTCTGGTAAATATATACAAGAAGAGACGAAGGCATAGAAGGGCGGGGGGCGGAAGCTGTTTACACTTGGGCCGCAAACGTTTCGCGAACGATGCAAAAAGCGATCCGATACAATGTAAACATAGCTATAAATGCATTTTGGGGTGACTCGCGAAAATTTCAGAATTCATGTGTGTGAACGTACTTTTTCTTTTCAGATGAGCGAAAAAATGAACTTAGCCGATGCGCTGGCATCAAAAACCTACGACGACGGAGAATGCATTATCAAACAGGTATATGCACAATAATACCTTTTATATTGTACCTATTGCGTTGCAATAGGGGTAAAAGACTGCTTTCACGAACACAATGATTGTATTTCAATAGGATGATGAGGCAGAGTTCATGTACTTCGTGGAAAAAGGAGTTGTCTCCATTCGAATACAACAACCGGTACGATAAATTGATTAAATTTTGGTTAAAATTGGATGAGAAATTAGGCCAAAAAAAAAATGTGGGTTTCCGGTTTCCCGACCCTACCTAGCTTTTGGACGTCGAAATCCCGACCCTAAACTTTTTTATTGGATGCTTGGATCATGCTTGTAAGTGTTTCCACTTAGAGGAAAAAGTTTGTGGAAAATTGAAATTTGAGGCAATATTAGGGAAATTTATCTTTGGATGTGGAAGCACTGACTAAACAAAATGGCGTCCGCTTGTTCGGAAAATTAAAAAAAGTTAAAAAAAAAAGTTAAAACCGACCTACCCTACCTTAAGTTTTTATAAGAAGAAACCGGAAACCCACATTTTTTTTTTGGCCTTAGCTTTGCCGGGCGGAGTTAACTGAATACGTAATTAGCCCATTGTATAATTTATGCATGATACATCATTTTCTGGTGGAGGCATGCAGTCTCCCTTCAACGCTAAGCTGGTTTTCCACCAGCGAATTTTTTTGCGCGAAGCGACCTTTTTCTTTTGTCGGCACCATTTTGCCACGTCTTGATGACGTAATAAGTGATACCGACAAAGGAAAAAGTTCGGCTTCGCGCAAAAAAATTCGCTAGTGGAAAACCGGCTTTAAATAGTACTTCATTTGTGCGTAGGGCGAAAGTACCGATGTTGAAGTGGCGAAATGCGCCGAAGGACAATATTTTGGAGGTATACTACTTACGTTTTCATTAGGAATGTTCGGTATGAGAAATTTCCGGTATCGGTATACCGAAAAAATTATACCGATATTATCGGTATACCGGTTTTCCTTTGATAATTATAAAGGAAAATTTTTTAATGGAAGTTTGAAAGAAATTTTGAGTAATTCTAAAAGGGAAAACGATAATTTCGAAGCTGTTTGGAACATGTTTCGAACGACATGCACGTACTCAGTGTAAAATCTCACTGAAGTGGAAATTCTAAATCATTGCAGTAGAAAGTTCTTTGAATTGCCATTCAGTAGTAAAATAAAGGTTATGGTTTCGCCATATAGTTGGTAAATTTAACACGGTATACCGAAAAATTCCGGTATATCCGAAATTTCGGTATATCGGTATGGTTGAATATCCGGTATCGATATACCGATATTGATTTAATACCGATATTTTCGGTATATCGGTATACCGAACAGTCCTAGTTCTCATACATGCGAAGAAATTCGAAACCGTTACCACGGTTAGAAAAGTTGGGCTGCGCCAACCATTGAGAGACTATATATAGTATATACATCGTGCAAGTAAATATCAATATTTTGGGGATCTCACTGGATGGAACTACAAAATCCTTCTATATATATCGTATGTATTCTGTTACAGAACTCGCTTTGGTAACTCACAAACCAAGAGCAGCATCTGCCTACGCCGTCGGCGAAGTTAGATGTGCAGGTAATTATACGTTTTTTCCTGCTCCGGACCGCTCAAACAGCCCGCGACCGCTAACACACACCCGGAAGTATTCGGTCTTTTCTTGTTACAGGTGACACATTTGCGAAATCATACAACTGCATTAGTGAATATATAAGACCTGGGGCCGGTTGTATAAAATTCTTAATCACTTTTTTAATCACTATTTTGTAGTTAAATAGTGATTAACTCTCAAATACGCGCTTCTTATTGGATGATGTTTCCACTAACTATAGTTAACTTTAATCACTTTTTTATACAACCAGCCCCTGATATTTTTGTGTGTGTTTTGATGTTATGTACTCAGGTGAATATAATGTTTTGATGTTACTCTTAGTGTATATCCACACCGGGCAGGCTGAAAAGTTAGCCTGACCACGGTGGGAATCAAACCCGCGACATTTGGGATATTACTCCAATGCTCTACCAACTGAGTACTTGAACGAGTACTTGGCCTCGTAGCTCAGTTGGCAGAGCATTGGACTAGTATCCCAAAGGTCGCGGGTTCGATTCCCACCGTGGTCAGGCTAACTTTCCAGTCTGCCCGGTGTGGATATACACTCAGAATAACATCAAAAACATTATATAAGACCTGTTTATAACTATGTCGTCAGAATCGATATAAAAGGCTCTAATAGATAGGTTAAGATCTACGACGTCGCAGTCACTAGGACGTCAGGGCTAAGCAGAGGACTGGGACTAGGACGTCGTTCTAAATAAATAAACTTCCACTTAAGATTCACGACTTCGACATTTAAACTATAAATATTTACATTCTTTTGAAAATGAATTTTAAAAAGACACATGAATTCATTACCGTTTGCTATGCTTTTATATCTACGACGGTAAAACTCTTGTTATGTGAGTGTCGACGTTTGGTGGACGACGAGCAAATTGAAAGAGACACATGCACACTTCAAAAACTATTACCAATTTACTTCCGCTTGCCGCCCTAAATATTTGACGTCGTAGATATTGGGCTATCAGAGACCTTACGATTTTAGGACGGCAACGCGACGACAATAGATCATTGAAAAGAATTGAGTAATTACAATAAATGAATAATTTAGACATTGTCCTCGCTCTGTTTACAACGCCAAATCACAGATTTTCACGTGTTGATACAACGGCTGCATTCCAAGCCACAACAAGTGCAACTTCAAACTTGGTTTATCAGAACTCTTCCCAACAAGAAAACCCATGTCTTCAACTTCTAAGACTGTATTAAATTCATACGATTGATAATATACGACGAACTACCGACTACCATTTATTTGAAGGAGTTTGTTTTGGCCGTCGCGGTTGTCGTCCTAAAATCGTAAGGTCTCTATCTACTTATTTAGGACGACATCCTAGTCCCAGTCCTCTGCTTAGCCCTGACGTCCTAGCTGACGTCAACGTCGTAGATCTTAAGATACCTAATGTCTCAATGACGGAAACTTGGCTGTATAGCCACGGCTAAGTACTTTAATTGATAGTGTAAAGCAGACTTTACAAATGGTCAATACTCAGGAATGCTTTCTTTATTCCTCTGCAGTCTTGGAAATCCACGCCTTCGAACGACTTCTGGGTCCTTGCATGGAGATCATGAAGCGAAACATTTCCAACTACGAGGAGACTTTGAACAACCTTGGTGTCGAACACACGGATCTGCGGTAGACACAACGTGGGACCAATATTTGGAAAGCTGCTAGCCCTGAGCTACGTTTCCTCTCGTCTCGTGGCTGTGTTTTTGCAAAACATTTTATTGAAGTTTTCTTTTGTCCCGTTCTGGACGAGAAATCGTTGTTTTTTGAAAGACCATGGCCGGTTATGGCAAAAAATTTGATGGGATATTTTCCCTTAATTTCTTAAAATTTGCAGAATTTTAGAGGATTTTAGAAGCTTTATTTATTGTTTAGAAAGAAATGCTGTATTGGTATACTGTAAATAAAAAACGTATCTTCATTAATGGGATATATATTTTATCTAATTGTTGAACATTATTATCATATAGTTACCACAGATGATTGTTAATAACCTAAACTAAAATATGCAATGTTAATACACCGTTCTCTCATGCAAGAGATAACTTCATCAAGCCAAGTCCTCCTTTACTAAAGGCTGCAGACCAGGCCGTCATAAACATATAAACAATATGCATAGTAATATCTCAGGCAAAGATATACGATACAGAATATGGGTGTTTCCCCACTGTAGTTCATAGGAAGCCAAAATACTAAGTGCGTGCTGTGCTGTGCTGTGCTGTGTTGTGTGTTATTGTTACTTAAAGCTTCCTATGGTCAACTACAGTAGGGTCTAACCTCAGCATCCTGTCTGAGTGATGTCTTGTCCGGAACCTTTTGTGATGTCCATTGTTGTAAATACCTACAGAAGATGATTTTGATCAGAGGAAGAAAATATGTTAGTGGTGATGGTGTGATGATGATGATCATAATGTTGGTGATAGTAATAGAGATGGTTGTGATGATGGTGGTCACGATGACTATGGTTATAGATAGATATAGATAGATATAGATAGATAAATAGATAGAGACTTTATTTAAAGAGGGTGACACTTAATAGTATGAAGTACTAATGAACTTGTGGCCCTCAGATGAATGGATGGTGGTGATTACGATATTGGTGATAGTAATAGAGATGGTTGTGATCATGATGATGATGGTGGTTGTGATGGTACTGATGATGGTGATGATAATGAGCCACAGAGGCCAGTTGACAAGCGTTAACCGTTCATCAGTTTCAACCAAGTGAAGTTGCTGTCGCCAGTGCTGGAAAATATACATGAACTTGTGGTTAGCGCTCGTCAACTGACCTCTGTAGCTCAGTTGATTAAAGCGCTGCATCGGAATCACAGGGCCCCAGGTTCGATTCCTGTCAGAGGACCTAGTGTTGCACTAAGTACACAATTAGATAAGCGTAATACTCGATGTAAAGGGCATTTGATCATATCCACACATAAATTTGTGCTATAGAAATCTTTAATCTTAGGTATATATTCCTAAACAAACCTCGGCAATAGTAGGATGTATTCCAATGGTTCGATCAAAATCGGCCTTTGTCGCTCCACACTTGATAGCGCAGGCAAAACCTTGCATCACCTCGCCTGCATTAGGACTGGTAATGTGTAAACCCACAATGCGGTTCTAAACGAATGAACAGAAAATATTACCCCGGGGATGACAGTTGAGAAGCGAGAGTTTGCATGAGAGTTTTCTCAACTCCCATACCCTGGTCAAACGAGAACAAGAGTTGCATGAGAGTTGAGAAGCGAGAGTTTGTATTAGAGTTTTCTCAACACTTGTGCCCCGGTCAAATGAGAACAAGAGTTGCATGAGAGTTGAGAAGCGAGAGTTTGTATTAGAGTTTTCTCAACACTCGTGGCCCGGTCAAATGAGAACAAGAGTTGCATGAGAGTTGAGAAGCGAGAGTTTGTATGAGAGTCCTCTCAACTCTCATGCCCCGATCAAACGAGAACAAGAGTTGCATGAGAGTTGAGAAGCGGGAGTTTGTATGAGAGTTTTCTCAACACTCATGCCCCGGTCAACGAGAAGAGTTGCATGTGAGTTGACTGGATATTACCGCGCGCGTGGCAAAACTCATCAAAATCTGAACCAGTCCAAAGTTGATGAGAGTTGCATGACGGTCAAACGCTAGCGAGAGTTGCAACTCTCATCAACCATCATGGAAGGCAGGGAAAGTTTTATTAGTTTTGATGATGTGACTGAAATCTCACCTGGTCCTGTTTATTACAAATCAACTTAGCGTAGCAAATGTTGTTGTCTTTTTCAGCGACAGTCCACTCTAGTGGCCAGAGGTTAGTGTGAAACATCTCCAAATTATCTTCCCCAAACTTGGCAATGGCGTCTTCCTCGGCATAACCACAGCAACTGTACTCCAATGGCGTGAACACTGTCGTCGGGACGTTCACGTAGTCGCACTACAGAAAGGAGTAACATGCTTAAGTTTCATGCTTGACGCGATTCATTTCTGGCACTGCAGGCTATGAAGCATCTCGTATAAAGTGAATGTATGCAATTATACATCGTCTACAGTCCTTCGGAGATGTTGCTTTGAAAATATTTTGACAGTAAAAATGAGACATACGGTCTGTCTTTTGCAATGTGAATAAGTCACATACGATCTTGATTTTGGTTATACTGTAGTTATATGTTTTAGATTTGACAACTTTTACATGACCATACGGGCAGCACTTCCCGTTGCGATAGTAACTCCTAGTGTTAAAATTATTCCTAAGCTTACCAGGGTATTGCTACCAGCATACAGTCTTTGAGCCAACAACATTCCAGCTTCAATAGCTACAGGTGTTAATTCCAGTCTGCCCTCCAATATATCTCCAAGTGCATAAATATTTGACACATTCGTCTGCTCCTTGTCATCAACTATAACCTTGTGATTCCTAGTAAAAAAAATCACAAACAATCGACACAAACCGGAAGAGACTGATCGCGGACTTTAGTTATTGATATGTGGATTTCACTGAACACGTGCTCACTGAGACGACTGGGGACGAGTCAGCCATTGTGCGAGAACCCTAACATTCAAAGGGCAAAAGTTGATTAAATCTTACTTTGGATTCAAAGCTACTCCAACGTTCTCGAGACCAATACCTTCGGTACAAGAGTCTCGTCCAATTGCAAACAACACCTAAATCAAACAGAGCGATAAGCACAAGAGCCTTGTAGTCATATAGGAACGCAAGAATTGATGGCTAAAATAGTTCGCGAAAGGACAGCAGGCTTTTAGCCAGGCAAAATGGACGTCAGGCAAAATGGACGTCAGGCAAAATGGACGCCTTTGGACGTCCAAAACCTCTTGGAGGAGGAGGGAAATTACTCTCAACGATTCCTTAACTATCTTAATATATCTGAAACGAAACAGCTTCAATTTTCAATATTATACATTAGACATTTTGATCAATTTAATGGTTTAAGTTTATACATTAGACATTTTGATCAATTTAATGGTTTAAGTACAGCAGCATAGCAGTACAAAACTCACAAAGTCAAGGGTGTTTGAAATATCTCGAACAAGCTTTGGTAGGCGGAACAGATACTGACATGAAGTAACGTAAACCTCTAATACTGTTCAAGAGTCTCAGACCCAAATGTGTCATTATACCACCTACAGTATTGTATTCTCCTTGGAATTCTTCACCACCTTCCACTGACTTGTAATGCACTTTCAACTTCTTTGGTTGACCATCTTCCACCATCTCGATCTACAAGAGAATTTTGAGTAAGTAAAGTCATATTTTTTTAACCTTGCTATATATCAAGGCCGGATTTTGGTGGAAATAATGGGGGAGGTGGAAAACAATTTTGGGGAGGTGCAGCGGTATAGCTCACGACCCCTATGCCATGGACAGTTAGGGCTTTGAACGAGCCAAAGTCAACGACCTGATGTATGCATGTAGTGTACATATGTATCCAGTGAATTCTGACTGTACAACTCATCCAATTTTGCGCTTCATTACAATTACTACAAAGTTTCTTTCAAAACATTGCATTAAAAGTGTACTTAACACAGAGATGAATGGCTATCACTGTTTCAATTTTACGGATAAAAACTTTCTTACGAAGTGCATGTAAACCTTAAGCAACCAAAAAATGTCAAATTTTCACTTTGATCTGTCATTGAAACTTCCCCAAGGGGAGGTGGTGCATGACTTTTCAGGGGAGGTGCAAAAATTCTCAGGGGAGGAGCATAACGATCTCAGGGGAGGTGCCCACCTCCTCACACCTCCCCTCAAAATCCGGCCATGCTATATATACTTCAACCTTGTGTATAAATGATATAGTACAATTGTGTAGAACACAGTATATTTCGTAACTGTAGTCATTCACCTTGGTCGGGATATGTTTCTTTATGATCTTCACATTTTCCTTCTCCATATAACTACCAACTATTTCTGCCATTTGCTAAACAAATCGAAGACATAAAATTCTAAAGTCGCCACCGCAACTAATTTTCAACCGTGTCTGACAAAGTGTAAACTGCTCCCTTACCTGATCAAATCCACGAAGAAAGATGGATCGCACCATGACGGTGACATCCAGTCCTATACCAGCCAGAAAACCAGCGCATTCCAGAGCAACATATGAAGCACCAACAACCAAGGTTTTACCAGGACAGTATGGCAGCGAGAACAGGTCATCGCTAAAGATTTAGAAAATATTTTAACCCATTGAGCGGTCTCCCCGTGACAAGTAAAATCGTCTGGTGTTCGACAGAGGAAAGTATGATCAAGTACGGCGCATTAGGGCGCAATACAACTCAATGGGTTAATAAAGATAATAAATTGCAACAAAAGAACGAACAATTCACTAAATATACATAAAGACTTATGCAAAACTATACCGGTACCTCGTTATCGCGAATTCTTTCGCTCCAGGAATATCAGGATACCTGGGACGTTCACCTATAGTCAAATATCGAAATTCTATAGCAAAGCATGTTTTAACGTACTGTACCAGGGCTTGAAATTTGAAATCTTCAACACTGTCCTAGTAGGCAACTAGAAAGTTGAAATCTGGTATCCACTACAAAAATCTGTATCCTACGTCATTTGACTAGTATGTGAGATTCAAACATTGAAACAACTGGTAAAATTAGTTTTCAATTGTAATGAATTTGATAATATAACGAATCTATGCTACAACAGAAAAATCTGTGAAGGACAGCAACTTGTTTAGTATCCTAATGGATACTGAGCTTGTGATGTCCAAACTTAAAATCTGGTATCCCTTGGATATTGGGATGCTGCAAATTTCAAGCCCTGTTTTAACATATACTGTAATAAACTTATCCCAATGACTGTATATATACCTGTTGCAAGGACAATGGTTTCAGCTGTGATTTCTGTGACTTTGCCACGGTTGTTAGTAGTCTGTAAAAAGTTGAAAAATGAAAATTATGTCAAACATGGAGAATAGTTGCATTGTAGTGAAGGATTGCTTCACAAAGAAACATGTCATCTAGTGAAGAACCTGCTTAACCCATTGAACACCAGTGCCCCCCCCCCTTGATGAGTAAAATCATCTGGCATAAGACAGAGTAAAATAATAAAGAAGGGTTCATTGCTACTCACAGGGGGTTACTAAGCGAGAAATGTCAAATGTACTGCAATTTTATATTCTTTTTATAAAGTCACTACATCCTCTGTGGATCTATTTCAAAATTCATACCAAAATAATGTAGATGTCGTGACAAGAAAGAGTCGGCTAGCTTACCTTAATTTTGTGTGCATCTATCAATTCACCATGTGCGTTAAGATACTTCACGCCTTTGTCTCGCAAGGCAACGCGATATCCCCAGTTCAGTGAACCAATGTAGTTCTGAATTGCTTCTTTCATTGTTTGCCAGTTGTGTTTGACTGAGAAGAAAAAATTTTATTGTTGAAGAGAGACTCTTGGGCACTTACTACTTGTTAAAGCTTGTACTGCATGTAACCTTTGGCTCAAAAACTGCAAACCTGGATCAAAAGGTCTTACTACTCTAGTATAGTAGAAAATTTCAATTTTTCACAGTATAGTTTTGTAATATTTACCAATCAGATTTAATAGGTGTCTCTTTTCTATAACATTCTTTTTTCTATTTTCATACTTGGTGTGGTTCGACTAATTTCCTGTTCTGCGACCAAATTTTATTTATCAAACCCAAGCAGTCAAGCTCAGTTATGTTTCCCATGTCCAAAATTTCAGGCCCAATCGCTCAAAGTTTCCCCCGGTGGCCTGGTCCCTGCCACGACTGGCAACCTACTGTACGTGGTACCAAACCTGCTCCGGCTGCTTGCTAACTGCAAACTATTTCTGGTTATCTGCCAAAAAAGTAAATATACAGGCATCGCGTATACCTTTATCCTGATCCAATTCCCATCCAAACTTTGCTGAATCCTTGATAGCTCCACCAAGTAACGCTGCCTGATGCATCAATTTCTTTGGAATACAGCCGACATTCACACATGTTCCACCAAGGCCTAGGAATGTATCAAGTGTCGGGTATCAAACCTTGTCTAATGTAAATAAACTAGTTTTTTGTCTGTTCATATTTACCCCATGTTGTTCCAGAAGGTGTGGGTTTGATGAAGTCAAGAACAGCAACTTTTACACCATACTTGCTAGATTCCTATTAAACAGGATATAATGGTCAAACTTGGCATAAATACCTGGACTAATTTTAGTAAGCTCTTTCCAATAGAGGGCAGACATATTTGATTGACGGGTGCAGATTTTCTGGGGGTGTACCAGGGTATAAATTATAAAATTGTAATACGTTCTTGTCTCATCAACAAAACTGTTTTCAATTAGCCTTCCTCACGATGACGAATATCCGCCATTTTTGGGTGGCATCAAATTCTTGTTAACCAATGCAGTCAATTAAACCAATGTGAAAAACAATTTTTCAAAATAAACTAACCATTTACAAAGCAAATTTACCATCATTCGTCCCAAAAATTATAAAAAGTCGTGTTTATGTGGACTTATCTCGCAGACTTCGGCTGAAATGCCACTCAAAAATGGCGGCGTGAGAAAGGCTAATAGGGGGCATCCAGACTGTTCATAGAAAGAACTCATTGACAATTATATAAAACACTTAACTATAATAATGGAATATGACAACCCACCTTGCTGCAGGACAGCCCTCCAGAGCCGCCACCAATCACAACCAAGTCGTAATCATACTTCTCCGTTGGAGGATTAATCAATGGCATCAACTTCCCTGCTTCGTTTAACTTGTTGGTAGCATCCCAGCCACCAATATGTTTTCCTCGGATGAACACGTTTGGCACCGTTTTCTGACCAGTCATTTCCAGTAATGTGGCTTTGATGGCTGCACCAGTTTCTTCAAACAAACATGGTAATAGTTTAAATTAAATAAACTCAATGAAACTGTTCTAAATTTATTTATTTATACTGGATAGCCTCAAGGTCAGATTTTGGTGGAAATAGCGGGGTTAGGGGAAGTGTAGTAGTCTAGCTCACGGGCCCCCATGGAAAGGGCTTAGAATGGGCCAAAGTCAACGACGTGATGTTGTGACATATGCATGTAGTGTACATATATGTATCAGTGTATTAATGAATTATGACTGTATACAAGTCATCCAATTTTGCCATTCATTACAATTACTTCAAACATTGCATTAAAAGGGTTCTTAACACAGGGATGAATGGCTATTACCGTTTTAATTTTACAGAAAACCTTTCTTACGAAGTGTAGACCCTAACCAACCAAAAAAAGTCAAAATGTTCACTTCAATCTATCATTGAAACTTTCCGGGAGGGTGCAAAAAAGTCTCAGGAGGTGCACACCTCTCTTCAAAATCCGGCCATGGATAGTCTCCCACTTCGAAACTGTACAGAATGTAGCATGGGAGTCAGGGTGTAACCCCTTGTTTTAAACTTACCCATGATATCAATGTCAAGAAGATGAATAGTAATACCAAGGGACTGAAACAATGCTTTGGCCTAGATAGAATAAAAACATTATTTTGTAGTGATACAATCGGAATTACTGATTACCGATTATTCGTGCTACAATCTGCCTGATACTGATTTTATAATGACGTCATAATATCAGTCGACCAAGTAAAGATGACGTCATTCATGTCGATTTTTTTAACAATAATTTCGTAAAATGTTACCACAACCAAAAACTGTGTTAATAAATGGCATGCGTCACACATTAATTTAACATATTGCGTTAAAATGAAAATGTAACGTGTATCAACGTGCAATGCATATAATTTTTAAGTGCATATTTTCTCAACAATTGGTTTTAGACAATCGGAAATATCACTTAATTCTTACCAATTCCGATCGGCCCAATGCCAATTATCGGTCAGTCACTATTATTTTGACTTAAATATAGCAATGGCCACACCAGAACTGGTAATCGGTTTTCCCAAAAGAAATTGACACTGTCTGCCAAGAGGAAATGTCTGTTGTCTGGGGATGGAGGTGGCTAGAATCCACTTCCATAATAAAATGTTCTGGGAAGTTCAAAGGGGGCATAGGATTATTCTGCAAATGCCAGACAATTTTACTCATCAAAGGGAAAGTACTAACAATGGGTCAGTAAGACTATCAGCCTACATGTCAAGTTAACCCATTTAAGTTGCATTGCGCTCTAATGTGCTCTATGTTATTATTCTACTCTGTCTAACGCCAGATGATTTTACTTATCAAAGGGAAAGTACTAACAATGGGTTAGTTAGACTACAGCCAATTGCAGTTGAGCTTGCAGCTTGCATTTTAAACGCGTTGTTATATCGTTGAAAAGTATGCGTTCATTCCTTAGAAACACGCCGTTGCTAAGGGCGTAACGTGAACTTTTGGCGGGCATTGTTGAACTTCTGAACGGCGTGCAAACAAACGTATAACGAGTTAAATATTTTGTAAAAACGCCGCTTAGGCCTGCGACGGAACAGTAAGGTATTTTTAGAATGCCTGCAGTCAAATTAGAACTCCCTGGTCGGTTTTGTGACAAAATCTAATTTAATGTGACAAAATCTAATTTAATTCGTCAACGCCAAGAATAGAAAAACATGTTTACGTCGTTACAACGCGCGCCAAAAGTTCACGTTACGCCCCTAGCAACGGCGTGTTTCCAAGGAATGAACGCATACTTTTCAACGATGCAACAACGCGTTTAAAATGCAAGCTGCAAGCTCAACTGCAATTGGCTGTAAAATATACATCGAAATATCGGTCAATTAATGTATTAACCCATGCTTTTAAAGAACATAGAGCCATCCACATACCTTGCTTTTGCTTAGGTGTAAGATCCTGTGTCGCTTCCATTATGGTTCCATACACAAATCTCAAAAAAACAGCTGATGGTTTTTACAATATCACATCACATATAGAGTTGAATCAGTTCATAAAGAAACACGATCCACGCGAGAATAAACGCAAAAATCGAGCCCACGTGCATTCAAACATGGCAAGCAAGAAGTACGTCATAAAATATGCACTAAGAAGTATCGAGCAAATCTCCGGTATTTTCCCCGTGGGAGGGGCCAAATTTAAGGCAATCTCTTGAATTTCCCCTGTATCCAATGCAAATTACTGTTCAATCCCCCCTATATATCCCCACATTCTATACAAATAGCCCGGGGTCCCCACCCAGGGGATAGCCGATGATAGGTGCATTATCAAAAATTAATATTTTTTAAAAACATGGAAAATGTTTATATTGAATAGAAAGAGTGAAAGACCCACAACTCATATTTGCAAGCCAATTATTCTACAGAAAATACTAAATAAAAAGTCAAATATTTCGTATTTTCTGTACATTCAGGGGAAAATGTACTGAATTTATTATAGCCGGCCATTTAATTTTATAAAGTATTAACAAACGCACGTGGCATATTCAGCTGCAAAATAAGTGTTTTTCTACTACTATTTCAAGTCAACCGTTTTCAAAATACCAACTCAGAGACACGTACAATGTTATTTTCGACAAAAATGAACTAAAATATAAAAGAAATAATCATAAAATCCTACCTCAAGCTCGTCTATTCGCCCAGAAGTGCTTGAAGAAGCAGCCATCTTGTTCCAATCACTGGTTCCAATATACTTTCGCAGGAACGTCATGTAATGAGGAAATATAAAGATCCATGTAGCCTGCCTGCACGCCAATGGAATCTTGCATAGACTCTGCACTACAGCGGCGAAAAGTTTGTTCTCGCGAAGTTGAGATTAGTTTATATTTTCGGTATGGTGACCTGCGGTTGTGTAACTGTATTTTTACAGTTACAACAATGTTGTTCTTAACTGGAAAACAAAAATTAGAAATATTAATACTAAGTTCTTTGAATGTTTGCATGGCGATAAAATATAATTGTTTTTGTTTGTGGAAACACCACGTAAATTTATTACTGCAAAGTTTTCGATCCGTAAGCCCGGATCTTCATCAGTGCTAATGATATTATTAGCACTGATGAAGATCCGGGCTTACGGATCGAAAGCTTTGCAGTAATAAATTTACGTGGTGTTTCCACAAACAAAAACAATTAATATTAATACTGTTCATAATTCATTCTGGGTAAGGTACTGGAAAAAATAATTTTGGATTAGATTTTGCAGTCAACGTTTGCAGTCATGGTTACGCATGTGAAACACCAATATTAATGTGCTTTCTTAAAGTGGCAGATTATGGGTACAATAAAAAACGAACAGTAAAAATAAAATGCATTTTGTGCAAGATGTGCCACGATGCATCATTGTGTTACCTTCGTGTCAATTTTGTGTACTATTTTTAATTTATTTCATTGCTTATTGTGTGGTGCATTAAAATATTTACGTATGACCTATGTATGACATTACAAATTACAAGTGCAGAGTTCTTCAGTTCTGCAGATCAGTTTACATCGTTTTTCTTGTTGCCAGTCAATCGGTATGGTCTGGAAACCGGCTTGGTGAACTTCAAAGTGAAAAACCTTTGAAATTTTAGTTAATATTTCAACAGTACGGTTGAGTGATTCAACAAGATAATGCCATTACATGATCGCTTCACCCAGAGGCGTAGCCACGAGGGGGGGGGGGGGGTCCGCCCTGGACCATGCATTAGACCCCCTTCACATGTTTGGGGCTGGCTACGTCCCTGGTTTCACCATCCACAACTCGGCATAAACATGAACAAAAGCAGTGGCGGACACTAGGCCAGCACCCCGCCAACAATTTTTGACAGCCTTACCATTAATGTGTAACAAAGCTGTGACAACAATTTTTCAACCATAAATTGTATGTACGTACGTTGGCTATGAATAAAGCCAAATATTGCATGGATTTTAAGGCAACAAAATTTCAACAACTACAATGTCCAGCAACAAAATAGGGTGGGAACCTAAATTCGCCTCCCAATATTTTTTGTGAAGTGTCCGCCACTGAACAAAACGATAGAACAAAGACCGTGTTTCCAGACCATGCATTGATTGACTGCGGGAAGCCGATTTCTTCCGCCTCGCGGGTAGATCGTCCTTGCGGGCTGGGTTGTAGACCACAGTCTCGCCCGCCTCACATATACTCGCTGGTAAGTAATTTTCCTCCATAGCTCTTGAAGGTTTCAACATTTGCCTCTTGTCTCCTCCACCGATAAATAGTCTCTTTGACATTAAATAACGGTTTTAAAACTTCGATAAAACCATTCTAAATCTATCGCTCCATCCTAATTCTGTCTTCGTCAAATTCGCTACCACCAGACAAAAGCCAGATATCTACGACTCTTTTTAAATTCACCAAAGCGACGACAAGCAAAATCACGAGACCTTTTCCGTCGCTTTTTTGACATTGTCGTTCGTGTCAGGTCTGAGGTCGTAGTACGTGTTAAACACAGGTTCGTGTTTGTATGGTTTTAGAACGTTATAAGTGTGCATGATTAAGCGTGGAAAACGCGACGTGAAATATTTCACGTAACCGTCCGGAACACTGCCGAGTGATCGCCGGACATCTTCCGGTAGCTCACGATAATGGTGTTTCTAAAAAAAAAGATAAGAGTCAATGTTAGTGACAAAGTTTAGAACTGAAAAAGATCAATGATCCAGTTCAAATAAAGTTGGTTTGGTATGGTTTAGCAGCTGCCAAACAAAAACCTTTATCCATACTTTAGATCGAAATTAATCCCAAAGTTTCAGAGGGTGGAACAACCATGGACGACAAATAGCTACCTACCTTATTACGAATGGCTCGCAGTAAATCTCGCACAAGTTCTCCGCGATAACTGCGAAATCTTCGAAGATCTAAATAAAGCAGAAAGATCATTCTCTTGCCACAAATGACAATTTTGTTATTTCCCCTATTTATTGCAATATTTTGCAGAAAATTTTGATCCCTAAACCCAGGTTCACTAGAAAGAAAACCCCCCACATTTTTCTACTTCTGCAATTGAGCTTGGAATAGTGGTGCGGTTAGGGTCACGGTCATTAGGATATCAGCATCTTTCTTACCTCCACGTAACTCTGTTCCTAAATGTACATTCCAATCCCCGCGTACCACTCGTATTGAATCTTTTTCTAATTCTCGTAATAATGATGACATCTCAGGATCTTCTTTCTCAATTCTGTCGCTAACGTCCTACATTTGAGAACAAACAAAATGAATATTTGTATGAAAGTAGTTAAGACAAATGATAAAAAGAAAAGCTTTAAATATATAGTCTGTTATACACGAGTATTACCTGTAAAAATGCCAGCTGTTTTGCTCGGGACCAGAAAAATGGATGTTTTAACACATTATGCACTGTGGGCCTGTACGAAAGACAATAATTTCAACATAAGGTCGATCAGTAGAAGCACACGCTTCTATTTTTCATAGAACACACAATTAATGGGCCAGATAATCAAAATTCGATTGAAGCTGTTTGTAAAACCTGTTTCTATTTTTACTGAAATCATGTTGTGACTTAAACTAACAGAACCCTAACGGAATTCTTCGTTGCAAGTTTCGACAAGTCGTGTTTACCTTTTTGTAGCATCGCTCTCGATCATTTGTTTAAGAAGTTCCTTCGACGTAAATTCTCCAGCTGAAAAATATGTATGAAGTTATATGCATATTCATGGGACTACATTAAAATAATGAATCACCTACCATCGCAGTCTTTAACCATATCGATATTAAAATCACCATTGATGATATTCGCTTGTTGCTTGAAGCGATCACCAAAGGCATGTAGACCTCCAGACAGGATGTAGTAGAAAATACATCCAGCAGAAAATATGTCCACTGCTCGCGTCTAGAGAATGAAAATTTATATTAACATTGTACAGTGACTTTGCTATTAGCGATCGTCAAAGGACGAAGAATTATATAGAATTATAGAATAATGCATATCATAGCCACCATCATCACGACAGTTATTACTGTCATCATCACCACCTACCATCACGACCACTACCCCTATCACCATCAAAACCAAAAGCATCACTTCAACCACCACCATCATCTGATGCCATCGTCATTATTATACCTGAAATCATCATCATCTAAAGTCATCACCATCATCATCTAAAGTCATCACCATCTGATGTCATCACCATCATCACTATTATTGTCACCATGACGATCACCACCAAAATTATTAGCACCACCACTACAATACCTTCATCATTACCACCATCATCATAATCAACACCATCATCTCCATTCTCCAGCATCATCATCACCACTACCATTATCATCACAATCCTCATTCTACTTACCATTTTACACTCAGGTCGAAACATCTCCGGAGCAATCCATCCATCAGTGCCTATTGCTCCAGACTGCGAGGTCAGTGAATGTCGACCATGAGCTAGTTTCTTGCAGAGGCCAAAATCTGATAACATTGCTTTAACTTCACCTTTGGCGTTTGGCTTTGATATGAGGATATTGTGAGGTTTTATGTCACGATGAACTGAAATGTAGAATATATAGTATTAAGATTATACTGGATAGCTCTGTCAGTTCTAAATTAACAGTTTCCCTAGAGGCTAGTAAATAATATGCCTTATCGGTCCAGTGTTCTTTTAGTTATTGCAGCAGGAAAATTATAAACTAAACTATTGGCCTGGTGTTACTACAGGAGGAAACCTAAACTAAACTGAATTTAATATTATACTTGATAGCTACAGTGTTTTCCCTGGAGGTCCAGTAGAAGTAATCCCCTTGTTAGTCCAGTGTTACTACAAGAGGAAACCTGAACTAAACTAGCATTATACTGGATAATCCTGGGACTTCTAAGTTGTTCTCCCTAGAGGTCCAGTAAGAATCAACTCTTATTGGACAGTAACGGGGGAAAAAACTGCAAAAATCACACTCTTCCCATGTTGGACCGAGATGAAATCAGATTCGAACAAGGATGTTCACAGGGTCGGTGGTACAAATTGAGAATTAAATGATCTAAGTGCATACCAATATTTAATGAATGAAGATGACTAAGACCCATCATGGTTTGTTCCATCAGCTCGATCGCTTCAAGGCCGTGACGATCAAATGTGGAATCCTCCACGTACTCTTGGACGGTGGCTGCGCACAGCTCTATCGCAATATATCGAAATTGAGGAGTCTCTTCCTGTACAGAAAGTAAAATACACTTCAAGTATTATTACTTTGTAGAGAATAAATAATATCTCCACAATGAATTTGAATGTTACGCCGCATGAAGTTAGGGAATGTCAATCAACTTATTCTACTAGGGTGTTATATCATCAATATATAATCCCCCATGCATAATTTCTATACAGTTATATCCATGCGATCAGTGCAGAAACACGCCCTAGTAAATACAGTTATATCAAAGCAGTCAGTGCAGGAACATGTGATCATAACCAAACTTACAGTGCAAAAATAGCGAATGACATTCGGATGCTCATCGGATTCTTTCAGCAATGTAACCTAGAATAAAAGAAAATAAACTGAGTATATGTGTGTAATATGTATAAGAGGCGCGCTATAAAATCGATTGTCAATGATTATACCTCGTTGTTGGCGAAGCTGAAACAATCTGGTAGAATTCGTTTGACTGCGACACTGCGGTTCTCAAATTTCCCCCTAAAACATAGACGAATATCTGGTTGAAATATTTTCTGGGCTATAACTAGTGTAAGTAATATATGCACTAATATATTATAATCTGCTAACTATATCTGCTATATCTGCAATAATAGTTTATTATATTCAGAACTTACAAACTATGTACCTACCTGTACACTGCGGTCCCCTCACACCCTCGACCGAGTAAATCTTTGGGATTGTACGAAATTTTGCCCACTGTAATTAAACCAGACGAACCTAAAACAATTAAGCTTCAATTTAGGTTTAAGGTGACCAGTTTTAATATGAACAAATACAGTTCTTAGTTCTATTAACAGTGGAACAAAGACCTATTATGAAGTGATGTCATGCTAAACCAAAAATCACTTTGAGGTCCTTACTATCATCGTCACTCGCACTTATGTTATCCTGTTCTGATGAGTTCGCAGTAAAACCAGCAGGATTGGCAGGTACATCAGGTGGGACATTTGGTGTGGTGTTACGTTTCTATAAACAGATAAAAACAGGTGAATCAATACATCATCATTATATCGTCATCACCATCATCATCACCATCACTACCACCATAATCACCATCACCACCACCAAATAACCACGGCACCATCACCAACAATATTACAACTACCATCACCATACCACCACCTCCACCATCATCACAACAAACAAACAAACAAACAAACAAACAAACAAACAAACAAACAAACAAACAAACAAACAAACAAACAAACAAACAAACAAACAAACAAACAAACAAACAAACAAAACAAACAAACAAACAAACAAACAAACAAACAATATAAAACAATTAACCAACCTCGATATAAAATATAATAATAATCACAAGAGGAATTCCAATGGTTGCCAAGATGGTATACAACAATCTTTCATGCATTTTTAACATTTCCATAACTTGTTCCTGCGACATACTTTCTTTACCACCACTCTCTCTCAAACCAACACCAACATCATCTTCATCATCATAATAATCATCAGTTGTCTGGGGATCAGGATAGAACGGGTCTGCCAAGTGAGTGATTCTGAATCTGAAGACAAAATACGAGGGAGATATAAGCTGGATCCTGGACATGACTTCACGAAAAATTCGGGCTACAAATTTAGGTAAGGCTTTTTTGCTGCAGACATTTATTGGTGTGGTGCAGATGTAAACTTCACATAGTTTATTAAAATGCTATCAGGCTTTCACAGTAGAAAAAACATTTGTTGCAACTAAGTTATGAAGAAAAAGTATTGACTGTTCAGGTCTTGCAGAATGACGTATCATCAAAAATGATCGCCATTTTGGGGCACAGCTGTGGAGCATTAGAACTCTTCAAAATGCTCACAAAAAACAAACCACAGTCAGTGCCACAATCTTACTTTGACGCCATGTTTGCTTTTAATAATTATTTTTAATTTGTCACCGAAAAATGGCGGAAGTCAACAAATACGCGTGGTGACATCACTAGCAAGAGCCCAATATCTTCTACCTAACACTTGAGTGGTACGAACCTTGGAGTGATAGAGGGTACTTTATGATGACCAACCGCAACAGGTGTTTTATTGCCCTCACTCTGTGTATTAGGTTTATCCCTTTTCTTCTCTGCTTGATCCTCAATCTCGCCTGGTGTCCTGTTCTGTTTCTCGTTCTTAAGTTTCAAATTCACTCCGCCAATCGTGATCTTGAATGCGTGCCCAGGCGGCTGATCTGGCTGAGTTGGTTTGGGAGTACTCTCCCGTGGACCATCAATGAGTCGTCCATATCGCTAGAAAGTAACACACCTTTGTTACTACAGGATTTTTGGTCAGCACACTCGATAATAATAATAATTGACAATTTATATGGCGCTTTCTACATACAAAAATGATCGAAAGCGCCTAACTAAACTACTCGTTTAAACTAATGTTGAAGGCTTTTGTAGATTTTAAGTGTAAATTTTATTTAGATCTAAAGGTCCATTTCCACGGACCAGAACCAGCATTACCACGATCCAAGTCCCAAGCAGAAATAATACATATTTTCCAGCTCTCTATCAAAGCATCTATGCAGTTAATGAATGATAGTATACCTCAATGAGTGGTGTTCCTTCTTCTATCACAGATGGTAGAGCATACGGTTTTCCCTCATGTTCACCAACATATAAGCTAGCACTAAAACAAAAACGAGTCATTTCTCTATTATTATCTCCGACAGGAGATTTATGTTTCCATCTGCATTTGTATGTGTGTGTGCCCCTGGGGTCGGTTGTTCAAAAGTGGGTTAGTGCTAACCCTGGGTTAAAATTTAACCTGCTGTTTTAGTTTGTGTATTTCTGCACGTCTGTTATTTCAAAACTTCAGAGAAGTAAACTCCTATCGATGCAGACAAGATCTCTGAAGAAATAGTTCCAAATTTATAGAAAAGCTGTCAGGAAGTTTACTTTGAATTTTAGGCTAATCTAGGGTTAAGCTAACCCAGCTTTGAACAACCATCCCCTTAAACACACACATACAAATGCACAATTAACTTAAAACTATCAAACATATTAATGCAAAAATTTGTGGTATTATTAAATAATGGACATTGCCCATTTAAATTTTGGTTAAATTTGGATAAAAATTGGAAGAAAGTTTATCTCACTTTGCCAGGCAGAGTAAATGGAATACATAATCAGCCATTGTATAATTCAGTTACTTACTTACTTACTTACTTGTCAAGAAAAGAGTACAGAACATTGTCTGTGGACACTCGACTGTAATCCAGAAAAAACCTGTTGATTTCAAGCTATACTGTATGGGTTTTTTTTCTCACAATGTCTGTTTGACACCTAAGGTCTTCCATCTTTAAATAGTGTTTTTGCTATTTTCCTTAATCTTCCCGTCCAAAACTAGAATTACTTACTCAAAATACAACTCCCCAGAGTCAATGAATTTGTCACCAGAGTTATCAGTAATGGTCATATTTTCCATCAGCTTTCTTAATGTTTCTTTAGCAATGTGCGTGACAGGAACTTTCAGTAGACTATCTCCGTTCCATTCATATATCCCAACCACTAGAGAATCAAACTTCTTCTCCCAGTATATTTTTCCTGAAGAAATTCAAACACCATTCAAATTACTGGAGTAGCGACATTGAAGTGCAAAATAATGACATTGAAAAACCTGTAAAATTAACCTACAGTAATGAGCATGTGGTGTCAAATTATTGAATTTTAATTAGTTAAGAGGTCTTGAAACAGAATCCAAACAATGAAATACAGTTGTAAATAATTCTTCTATATTTATTTAATACATGAAATTTCAGTTTACCTGAGTCAAGTTCCATTGAGACAACCCTGCCATCAGAACTCGATGCAAAGTGGAACATATCTGAACAATGAAAAATTCATAAATGATCAAAATGAGCTTATTCTGTCTATTATTGGACTTTAATGTCAACTATTCATGAGTACAGTACAATACTATAAATACAGTACATACCATACTCATAGTCATTTGCAATGGCCGAGGAATAGTCCAAATATGTTGTGTTCCACCTATAATAGTATCAAATATTTATTGCAATTGACACAAATTTGATTGAAAGACAATCCACTTCATGCTGTCTGGATGTGCCTACCTTTTCTCTCTGGTTTTAGCATCATACATTGTTACAGTGTATTCTAAAATAACAATATGAAAAAAGTATTAACCCATTAAGGTGCAGAGCTACCCCATTGATGAGTAAAGCCATCTGGCATTAGACAAGTAAAAAAATAAGTAGGGCATTGTGGCTCAATGGGTTAATCACTATCTTTTTAAGAATCATATGCCTAAATTATCCTCCTTCGAGGTCCAGTAAGGATCATCTCTTATTGATCCAGTATTACTATAGGAGGAAACCTAAACTAAACTAACTTTATTTAAATATTTGTATGTGTTAGTTCTATTAAACTGTTCTCTCTCGAGGTCCTGTAAGGGCAGTCTCTTATTGACTTGATATTTTCACAGCGACAAACCTGTTCTGCCCAGAAATATGGGAGCTTTGCCACTGGTCATACTAGGACACACAGTCTGAGAACCATCAATAGACAGTGTCTGTAATTTTATTCCCGTTTCTGGATCAATGGCATACCAGACATCTGATTTACGACCTGAAATTACATGACAAATGCCTTATGATTAATTATGAACTAGTACGTATTTACTCTTCAAGTAGAGAGCCTGGCACTCAATGCTCAATGGGTTAAATTTATGACTTAAATTTATAATAATCAGAGAAGTAACACACCTATATACATCATGCCATCAGAACTTCTACATGGTGAAGCTTGAACCAACTCTGGGATTTTAAATGGTAATTTCTAAAGAGTTAATAATAATTCAATGTTAGAATATAAAATACACAGAATTTGAGATTTGAGGTATCCTAGTATTCTGACAACACCACCATTCTGGCATCATATCAAAGTTATATACCAGTTTTTCAGTTTGGATACCAATTATGAAGTGGTATCCTTAATAGGCTTGGGCGGTTTACCGGTTTTTCGGGTTTTTTCGGTTTTATTTTCAAACCGTTTTTTTCGGTTTAGCTTTTACAAAAACCGGAAAACCGTCATTACGAAATTGTTTACTGTCAACGCCCGAAACTCGATCCTAATTCTCAAAACATGACACTAATTAAACACAATTACATGACACTAGATACAAATTATATTCTTTTTCCGTAAAGTCGGTAAGAACTAAAGAGGTATAAGTTTTCAAATGCGTTCTTGACCCTTTTATTTTAAAACTGAAGTCGTTTTAGGTTACCTTTACACAATTTTGCGTTTTGTCATGTTCTGTCCGTTTGCTTATGTCAAAAAAATACAACAATTCCTCCTCATTCAGTTGAAATACAAATTAAAGGGAAAAAAACGGTTTTCCGGTTTTACCGGTTTAGAATCAGACAGTTTTTCGGTTTTAATTTTAAGCAAAACCGCCCAAGCCTAATCCTTAATTATGGATACCATGGGACCCAGCTGGTACTGTACATATTATGAAAAATCTCAGCAGCCTGTTGCAAGTTCTTAAAATAGAAAATGCAATCATTTAATTACCTTGAGTCCTTCAGGCATAGCACCAATGGCATACAAACTTCCATCATGGGGATCAGGGACAAACACTGACCTATATACAGGAAAATTATACAAGAGTCAAAACTTGCACTATTCCGGACTTTAAAGTATAATAGCTTACTAAAGTACAAAACTATCGCCACAAACTGTGTATGAAAAATTGTTCCAACTTGGAGCAATTTTTCATACACATTTCATGGCAATAGTTTTGGCAAGCTCTTCAAAAGTTTCAAAGCTGCAAATTTAAAAGTTCTAAAAGCTTAAGGACTATGTTTAATTAAACAGCATTACTCAGTCAACTGATATTATGACGTCATTATAAACTCGATATTGGGTAGAGTGTTGCAAATCTTTAATTAGTTTCATTAATTCGACTATACTGTACATGATAACCTACCCTGGTCTTAAAGGAAAAGTTGACTGCAACACAGGATCTATACATGATAAATAGTATGTAAAGAATTAATTTAAGAGTTACAATTTATAAATGTATTCGGGAACATTTGGAATATTATGGTATTAATCATAAGATGTACTACATAAAGTGGTATGCTATAAATGGTACATAGCTAGAAATACATCAGATGTCAAGTTTTGATAAGGAAGTCCCAGATTTGACTTCCACCGCCTACACTCACTACACATCAGATTGGTTTTGTTAAGCCCCAGTAAAACATGAGTTGGCAGTCACACATTGTTACAGGGACACTTCAAGCTCTAGATTAACAAAATAAATGTTTGATAAATGTTCCAACTATGTTTTAACTTAAACAGAATACATGATAGTGTTGGGAAAGCATTAAGAACAGCTAACTAAGGTCGTGTGACTGCCAACTCTCATCCTCGTTTGATCCGGGGCTTTAATCAGGTAGGTTACACATGTCTAATTGGTAGAGACAATAATTGTCAACTGTGACAATAGTGCTGCTTATCTTCAATTGTTCTGTTTTATATGTATATTATTATGTATGTTCAAAAAAGGAAATGGGAACTTAGGCCATACTCTAATAATAGATCTCAACCCCACAGAGGAAGAATTATGTTCACAATAGTGGGGGTCACAACTTCACTAATATGCGCTTGGGAAATTTATTGTTTTCCTTAGGATTCAATTCACATCTTTGGGTCTCTAAACTGATGGACATTAAATTGGATTGGGCAGAATCTGCCAGTTTCTAGACACTCTATTGAATGGTTTACACGTTCAAAGTTTCTGTGATCACAGTAGGAATTTTGCATGGGCAAATTCTAAGTTATGACGGACTTGTGAGAGATGATTGCGGGAATGAACTGACTCTGTAAACATTGAGACAGTTCCCTCAATCGTTTCTTACAAATCCTTCAAAACTTAGAATTTACCTATGCAAAAATTCTTCCTGTGATCACAGTAACTTTGATAGTGTAAACCACTGGTTTCAGCATTTATCATGCAAGTTTCAATCCTTTTTTCAATATCTAATCCTAATTTTTCAGTATATGGCCTCTGGTCCTCTATTGCATCAGCCTGGCAACTTGCAATTCATTACATATTTAAATCGTTCCTTAAATAAATATCAAACATATATGAAGAAATCTAATTACGATTTTTTCAATTAAAAATTAGAAATCTTTACTGTAACACTGTGATTATAACTTTTCAATAAAAGTTAAGCCCTGTTCAAGGTGATATAAGATTGGCTAACAAATCAAAATTAATACCAGTAATTGTGCCATAATATCGCTTAGATGGCAAAAATATAGGGAAGGGAATTTCCGAATTCAATATGTATACAATAGAGCAGCTGGGATCTTACAATAAACAACAATTATAACGGGCTGTTCTTTTGTAGAAGTTTAGTACAAATCACCAGAAAAGTTCCACAGAAGTAAACAATGTTATTATTTTTCTAAATGAAAGCAATTTCGGCTCAAATTTGGTGTGATCTTTGACTAAAACTATTCATGCATAATTTAGAACGCTTTCTATAAACTGATACGGCTATGTCTGCTGTTTAATATAAACAAAAATAAAGCTAGTTAAACACAACAGCTTGTTGTAAGTGCACGTGAAAGCACAATGGAATGGATTTGCTTAAAAGTGAACTACAGCTCGTAAAAATTTGGCTTTAGTTCCGCTTCTAAGCAAAAGCACAAGACAAAAGGTTTAACCAGCTTGCCGTAACAAGTGGCTGTATTCTGTTATAGATCATAAAAAGCGGACAATCGCGAATGCCAATAATTACAAATGTAATTTCCTTTATACTTCACTATTCATTCAAAATCTTCATTCAATATATTCATTTATTACTACACTTTATAGTTTCTTTCCAAAACTGTCTAATTCTATGGTTAAAAGAAGTTTAAAATAAACTTTTCTCGAGGTTAATTAAACTTGCCTTCTTTGAAAGACCACTTCACTTGGCCTGTAGTTTTTCTTACAGCGTGCATACTACCATCAATCGTAGACACAAATAGATAAGCATTTGGTACGCTTAAAGAATTCTTCTATATAAAAGATGAAACCGTATAAAACCATAGTGAAAATACTATACAACATTTCCACAAAATAGCATTCCAAATAAGCTTTGTCAGAAATTATAGGGTACTTAGAATAAATTCAATGCAGATTTTTATATACTAACCTTATCGTCAGTAGAGGAGGCAAAATAGCTCAATATCCCAATAAATAAAACCAGAATGAAGACAAAATATGTCCTGGGGCCAACCCTCATCTTCGATGTTGGCAAAGGATTAAGAATTTGTAGTGAAACGGTGTTAGAATGCTGTAAAATACGTCCATAAATTTGGAACTTTTGTAAATATAGACAAAGCAACTGGATAATATAACAACAATTCTCTTCAGTTCACGTCCGAAGATGTAATTGGCTTTTAATATACTGTATTCTCATTGGTTCGGCCGCATACCGGGGAAAAAGACCGGATGTGATTAACTGCATTAACTGTGTATCAATTACCCGGTCGGATACACTGACTCAGAGAAATGCGGCCGCGGGAGTCTTGTTATTTGGCAGTAAATAAATTATTAGAGACCACCTCTCATTGGCTTAGTAGCATCTGATTGGTTAATCGGATATATCAAACGCATCTGATTGGTTAATAGTAGCAGTAGTGAAAGTCAAATCAATTTGCCTTTTACACTATTAATACACTACACAACTTTTGCCTAAAACTGTTGCATACAACCTGCTTACAACTTGAGTTGTACTGTGTAAATCAAGCACACAACTCACTTATGTTGTCATAGGTAAGTTGTATCCTTGATTTACACAGTACAACTCAAGTTGTAAGCAGGTTGCATGCGACAGTTTTGGGCAAAAGTTGTGTAGTGTAAATCTTTAACACCAAATGATAGAGACATCATTTTCTAAAGTAAATACTGTTATTAGACAAAATATATTATATATTTATAGGGCCTTATGGCAATATAATCGAAAAAATAAATTTTATCTATCATTATAAAGTCTCTACGCTTCTTCGTCCAATTTCAACGCGTTAGCTATCGACGTGGCGATCATCCTATCATTCTCTCCACTTTTTCCTTTCTACAAAAAGAAATATACTTCAAACAAATTATAACAAATCCTTTGCGATTGCATTCACAGAGTCCTGTGATTCACACTACCTGTATAGCAATGGACCATTTGCATTACAGACGAAATTTTGATCTGGACAAAAATTTCATCACAGCTTGAAAGAGCATCACATAATTAGTAATATTCCAAAGTTTCGTTGCGAAATGTTGTAAAATGCGGATAATATATAAATATAGCCTTGCGAAGTTTGCCGTTTTTCAGTCATTTTGTATTACGCGCGGGAAATTGACAGCCCAATCGGGTGTTGGGGCATCAATTTCCCGTGCGTAATACAAAATGACTGAAAATTGCAAATTTAGCAAGGCTATATTATCCGCATTTTACAACATTTCGCAACGAAACTTTGGAATATTACTAATTTTGTGATGCTCTTTCAAGCTGTGAAGAAATTTTTGTCTAGATCAAAATTTAGTCTATAATGCAAATGGTCCATTCTGTCAGCGATTTTCTCCTGGCAAATGTGACCAAATGAATGAGATGCAAAAGACTTTTTTTAAGTTCGTCCAGAACGCAATATGTGACAAGATGACTTACAGCCAATCGAAGCAGTATCAAATCACTGATCTTCTTTACTTCTTTATGTCGAGACAAAACTTGCGTTTCTTTTCTTTGATGAAGAAAAAAAATAGAAAAATAAGAAAGAGCAAAGCTTATTGTAGTCTCCCGCGTGCAGCCTGTTCGCGGGTACGAGGGTTTCTCCTTGTTGGTGGTTCTCGCCAAATGCATGGCAGAGCACAGCAGGAAAGACAATATCAATGACTAAATTGTTCACCCTGTGTTTGGTTGAAAATACATATAGCAGCGTTAATGTGCCCATTGCACTTTACCTAGTTCCATCCAGTCATGATCCAGTGATCGGAATGTTCCATTGTCTTTTCATTGTTTTGAAAAGCCCACTGTTCTTCATGTCATCCAGTCATGATCCAGTGATCAGAATATTCCATTGTCTTTTCATTGTTTTGAAAATCCCACTGTTCTTCATGTCATCCAGTCACGATCCAGTGATCAGAATCTTTCATTGTCTTTTCATTGTTTTGAAAATCCCACTGTTCTTCATGTCATCCAGTCATGATCCAGTGATCAGAATATTCCATTGTCTTTTCATTGTTTTGAAAATCCCACTGTTCTTCATGTCATCCAGTCACGATCCAGTGATCAGAATCTTTCATTGTCTTTTCATTGCTTTGAAAATCCCACTGTTCTTCATGTCATCCAGTCATGATCAAGTGATCAGAATGTTCCATTGTCTTTTCATTGTTTTGAAAATCCCACTGTTCTCCATGCCATCCAGTCATGATCCAGTGATCAGAATGTTCCATTGTCTTTTCTTTGTTTTGAAAATCCCACTGTTCTTCATGTCATATCCAATCATTCAATGTTTTAACACATTTGAACGTTTATGCAAAGTGTTTACACATTTGACCACTATGAAGCAGTGTAGCCACTGTATAAAACGCGTGCTGAAACGAATCTAAAATGACATAGCGATTTCTGTGCTTCGAAATAGAGAAACGAAAACGACACAAAGGTGCGTTTTTGTGTAAACATGGCACATTAACTCATTAGACAAGTAACGTATTTTTTCATACTTTCTGAATTCTTCTCTTTCCTTTTTCTGCTGTCTACCAAAGATTGTTCTTTCGTTTGACATTTGATCTAGTAGACTGAAAAAAGAGTTAATACTACCTCAAATGTAGGAGACCAGGGTTTGTGCTTGAACTACCTGAAAACGAGTATAATTACACGAATCTTGAACTGCAACAAGCTTTCCTTGCATGGTAGGGATGCAACTACCTGAAAAAATATAAGGAGAATTTCGACGTTTCGAGCGAAGGCCCTTCGTCTGGAGTTTATTTATTTATTTAGCTTTGCCAACTAGGGCAGGGTCACCACAACAGCATATGCCAATTACTGTGGGCCCTTTTTACCTAACCCGCCCTGTCAACTTTCCCTGTGGGAGGAAACCGGAGTACCCGGGGAAAACCCACGGCTTTCGGCAGAGCGTTGACTTTTTTACTCTTTTCACATGGGGACTGGGTTCGAGTCGCACTGAGAAGGTACTTAGTGAGACTCGAACCTGCAGCCTCAGAGGTGAAAGGCAAGTGCGCTAACCACTTGGCCACCGAAGCCCCTAGTTACTAGCGACCAAGGAGTAACTCCAGGCGAATTCGAAACGTCAAAATTCTCGTTATATTTTTCAAGTAGTTGTATATATAGTTACACTAGACCACCACGTCGTGATCATAGATATACTATATTATATCTATGGTCGTGATAGTGTTATCTGTGTATGTAGTATCATCTCGAATGGTCTTTGCCAGTGTAGGCAAAGATTGGTGTAGGTAGCAGGGCGCTTATATACCGGTATATAAGCGCCATGGTAGGTAGCGACAACAAGACAGTTCTTCGCTCGAAACGTTGAAAGTTCTACTTGTATTTTTCGGGTAGTTGTATCTCAAATCTGGGGTCCAGTGTAGGTAGTATTCTACAATGATCTACCGGTAAAAAATGAGAATACGTTCGACGTTCCGAGCGAATAACCTTCACCATAAGGTTAGTAGATTGATCTATAGATGTTCATTTGAAGATGTCCATGCGGGAAAATATTTAAGATTTTCTTAAGAATATTACCTTTGTATTTGTTTCTCGAGTTCATGTGATGATTTCAACGATTCTTTGATAACATCGCGGTATGTTGGAGCATTTATACTACCTTTCATTAAGGAAATTAACAAACTAACTTTATTTATACTGGATAGCTCTATCAGTTCTAAACTGTTCTCCCTAGAGGTCCAGTAAGGATCAACTCTTATTGATCCAGTGTTGCTACAGGAGGAAACCCACACTAAACTAACTTTATCTATACTGGATAGTTCTATCAGTTCTAAACTGTTCTTCCTAGAGGTCCAGTAAGGATCATCTCTTATTGATCCAGTATTACTACAGGAGGAAACCTAAACTAAACTAACTTTATTTATACTGGATAGCTCTATCAGTTCTAAACTGTTATTCCTAGAGGTGCAGTAAGGATCATCTCTTATTGATCCAGTATTACTACAGGATGAAACCTAAACTAAACTAACTTTATTTATACTGGATAGCTCTACCAGTTCTAAACTGTTCTAAACTGTTCTTCCTAGAGGTTCAGTAAGGATCATCTCTTATTGATCCAGTGTTACTACAGGAGTTTTGTAGAGTCAAAACTGAAAAGGATAACAATCAGACATTGCTTCGTCAAGGATACGGAGGTAATTTATCTATTTCTGTCCTTTGTACGAGAATTGACGTTCCAGAATCTTTAGCGAGACGTTTGTTTTGAAGAAAATGTTTCACCAAAGGACTCTGTCCATGGAGGTCAAATACAACCTTTTGAAATTCTGGGCCTTTTCCCACGTAACATGACTGTAACAAGAAAAGAAGTAATCGTGATTTAGTCTGTGTTGGTGCGTCTGTCACCAACACAGACAAAATCATGATTACTAGATTACATTGATATCGAAGAAACTAGATTCTGTTCCGAAACACACTCGAACCGACCTGACCGGCGGATATGGACGGCGAAAGGCACACTGTCAAACATGTGAGAATTAGAATAAAATGTGGATTCAGGCGGACGAATAAAAATAATAAAACGCATGCAGTCCAAGTGTATCCGCCATTTGTCGACTACATCCAACTTTAGGTTATCTACACCCTAACTCTGGACCTCTAGGAAGAACAGTTTAGAACTGATAGAGCTATCTAGTATAAATAAAGTTAGTTTAGTTTAGGTTTCCTCCTGTAGTAACACTGGATCAATAAGAGATGATCCTTACTGGACCTCTAGGAAGAACAGTTTAGAACTGATAGAGCTATCCAGTATAAATAAAGTTAGTTTAGTTTAGGTTTCCTCCTGTAGTAACACTGGATCAATAAGAAATGACTCTTACTGGACCTCTAGGGAAAATAGAGTAGAACTGATAGAGCTATCCAGTATAAAGTTAGTTTAGCAATACTAGATCAATAAGAGATGACCCTCCTGGACCTCTAGGAAAAACAGTTTCGAGTAAAGTTTTAGTATAGTTTAGGTTTCCTTCTGTAGTAACTCCTAGAAAAGCACTCTACAACTGATTGGACTAGTATTTAGTATAATTTATAAATTCATAAACCATTAATAATGTAGAGACGGTGAAAGATTTTCTGAGATGGTTTTAAGTAATGAAGGAATTATTTAATTTAAAAAAAAATGATTAATAATTTATCTTATCTATATTGATCAATTATCTTACTTAGTATACACAAATCAGTTTTTTCTACAGTTCAATTAAAAACATTCTAAGAAATTGGTTTTAAAACTGCAGTTGCATTATTTCGTTTAGTTGTCATTGGCGACAGTCCTCTCCATACATTGCCAGAATTCAAGTCTAAACACTCAACAGTATTGAGATATGTTTTAGTTTGATAATCATACCCGCCCATAACAATGATAACATTGCCAGTGATAACTGCTACACTTCCTGCTCTTTTATGATTAAGACAAGGCAACATTTTAATTTTTCCTGTTTTCACATCATACATTACTACACTGTTTAATGATTGACCTTTCTTATTACTGTCTCCAATCAAAATTACATTACCTTTATAATTAACACTAGCCATATCAGCAATAGCAAATGGCAGTGGTGGTAATGTTTTACACTTATTATTGTTCAGGTCATATACGTACACAGTGTTTTTGGTGTCCTTGAAGTATTTTGACGTCATTCCTCCAGCCACCACCATCTGGTTGTCATTTATCTGACAACTATGGTAACATTTTGGCTCCGGCATCTGGGTCAGTAATCTCGTGTCATGGGGAGGATTTAGACTGATTTCGTAAATCCCATCAGAAACATTGTCACCGTCACGTCCACCAGTTAAAATAGCACTGTTCTCTTGACGAACCATTGTGTGTCCATGGCACTTTAATGGCATTTTGACAGGAGACGTTATCCATTCTAAATTTCCCTTGTCAACATTTAAGCTTTCAACACTGACAGTGTTCTTGGTCCCAGTGCCTCCGCCACTGACATATATTTCACGACCATGGACAAATGCTGAAGGAGCTGATCGTGCCTCCTGCATTGCTGGTTCCAGTGTCCAGGAATTCTCGGGCCAGCTGTATGTCTCTACGGAATTAAGGACAGTCTTGCCATCATGCCCTCCACAAACGAAAATCTTCTGTTTGCCTGTAACTAAATTGTATCTTTCAGTTGCTTCTTTTGTGAGATACGCCATTTCCTCCTGAGTCAGTTCCACTTGCTCTTCTTTTTCCTTGACGTCCCTCACATCATCCTTGACGTCCTTCATATCATTCTGAACAACGTTCAATTTTCTCGCTAAATCGTCCATTTCTTTTCGCATGAAGCACGGGTGTACACGACTTGACTTCCATATTACTTGTTCTCCACACTCGTCGCAAACGATCTTACGAAACTGACACTGTTCACGTTCGTGTCGTTCTTTCTCGTGTCGGTTTATGACTTCTTTACAACCAGCATTTGTACAACGCGTTGGTGAATAACCACAGCTGTTGACATGTCGCTCAAGAAATTCAAGCTTGACCAACTCTGGGCAGCCACGGTCTTCGTGATCACAACGAATCATGAGACTCTGCAACAATTCCGTCAAAATTCTCGGTGGCTTGGTTAAGGTTTCTTCCGTCAGATGGTGTTGACACATTGGGCAAGTTTCGGAGTTTTCGCGCAAACACTTTTGAATACACGAGTGGCAGAAGTAGTGTTCATTCGGGCATTGTACGGGATCTTTTAAGACCTTGAGACAAATAGAGCACTGCAGTTTAATGTCGACTTTGTTTTCAAATCGCTCTTCTTCATATCCACCGAATGAATCTCGCCTCGCCATTTCTGTTCCAAACAGCTAGAAGAAAACTTTTTCTATGTTTTTGATATCGTTGTTAGAAAGACAGATTGTGTGAAGGCTTCCTTGTCTTGCAGATGTTGTAATGAAAGAAGATAGTCTGATGACGAGAATTATATCATAAGACGATCATAAGACCAGTTGTGGTATGCTTGGAATGTTTTTAATTAATACTTGGAACTGGATTCATGGAATCATATTTATATTTCTGACTACAAAGCATTATTTATTTGTAAAAACTATTATTTTGCTAACGTCCCAACTTCTTGACTCAAGACAGAGTTAACTGGACTAACTACAAGGCAGATATTGATGTAAGGCTAATTTCGTTCATTCGTTTTGAGTTTCACTTTGATAAATATAAACATTGACATATAAAGTTGCAATTGTTTATATGGATTTATCCAGGGGCGGATCCAGACCAGTTTAACAGGTTTAAATAACACTGAAATATTTTGTGAGATTAGATGATGAAATCATGCAACAAGGCTCTCTCCTCCATAGAAGCGTTTTTAGTTAAACATGCGGGCAAAACTAGACACATATTCCAGACTTCTCAATTTATTACAGCCAAGACCTAGGCCTTTACTCGGCTGGCTTTGGCAAGTTTGGTCAATTTCAGGCTAGCATCTTTGGCAGGTTTCGTCAATTTCGGGCTAGCATTTGGTAAGTGTCGCCATGGTATTTCGCCCCGCCCACAAATCTACTAGTCCCAGTCTTCTCATGTGAAAAAGCGCTGAATATTAAAAATAATAAAAATAGAAGGCCTAGGATGGAGATATTGGACTGTCTCTAGGGAACTGACACATACAAATATTTCTTTAGTTTATTATTGCATGACGCAACAATGATTGACAGTTGAGGTGAGAGTGATATAGTCACGAAAAGAGAGAGCAGAGAGTTTATACAGTAGTTGGACTGTCACAGACAGTGAGACATCTGTATAATGTAGACTACAGGATGTCCCCAAACCATTGAAATAACGTGATGTTAAAATATGAACGCCCTATACCACTAAGCTGAATGCAAACATGCGTAAAATATTGACAAGGCCAAGGGTGCATATATTAAATATTGACTTATCAAGAAATTAAAATATCTTTGTAAAGCGCACGATTTTCTGCCCTTGGGAATTTAAAGCAGCTTCTTAAACAGTTTCTTTATGCATAAAATGTACTTATGTCAAGCTTTTATGCACTTGTGTGTTGAGCAGAGTGCTGAGGCATTCGAATTCTAACATTACGATATTTCAATAGTTTGGGTTTTTTTTGGGACAGGCTGTATACTGCGCTTGCACTCATTCCCGCAGGGACCAAGTCAACAAAAGCCATGGCGGCCATGTTGGTGTTCCAGACAAAAGAGTCTAATTAAAATTCTTGTGACGTCATGTGCAGAGGCTCTATAGTACTTTAAAACTCATTAATAATTCATGAGGAAAATACAAAAGAAATCACTGCCATGTCGGTGGTTTTATATGTGATAAAAAATCATGAGTAATTTACATGAACTTAGCTTTGATTTGCCGCGCTTAGACAACGTTGATTTTTATAATTACTTTGTCAATGAACTCATCAGATAGGTCGTTTTTTTAAGCCATTTAAAACATTCGCAGTCCGTCCTTTATCAGATATAAAACACTCGACCAACTAAATGAATGATATTTGGTGAGAAAATTGAACTTAAAGTTTATACAAATCCCTTCACGATCATGATTTCTTTTGTGTTTTCTTCATGAATTATTAATGAGTTTCACAAGGTTTTTAGTGATACATTTTATTAAAAGCACAGTTCAACCTTCTGAATGATGGTTTTTACAGTAAGATGCATTACAGCTCTTTTAATTGAAAAACTAACCAGGAAACTGATCAATTAAGCATAATTCAAGATCAGCAAACTTCATGTTTTTAACATTTTAAAACATTTTTATTGTTAAAAACATTGAGTTTACTGATCTCGAATTATGCATAATTGATTTTCCTCGTTAGTTTTTTTCAATTAAAAGGGCTGAAATGCGCCTTAAAAACCATCATTCAAAAGGCTGAACTGTGCCTTTACAGGTAAACTACGTGAAGCGTTCCTCTTTTGACTTCCTAACTCATTTGAAATTTTCCTCATTAGCTTTGCAAATTTGAAAAAGTCTTTGAAAAACCTTGAGGGAATTTGCAATGTTCCTATCGGCTGTTGCAATATTCCAATGTTCATTTTAAATTTTCCTAACTTCCTGTTTTAATTTCCTGACTTCCTGTTCTGTTCTGACCGTTGTCATTGATGGATTATTTTTGTTAGCCAATTACAACGCCCAGAACAGAACAGGAAGTTAGGAACTTGTAACAGGAAGTTAAGAACTTCTAACAGGAACTGAGGAAAATTTAATTGGCTTTTAGCAACATTGAAAATTCTCTCAAGGGATTTGTAAGGGAGTTTTTTAAATTGCAAAGGTAATGAGGAAAATTGCAATCAATTTAGAAACTCAAAAGAGGAACGCTTGACGTAGTTTACCTGTAAGAATCAAGTTTCAAAAGATCTAACCTCTATTGTTTTACTTGCTATACATTATAAATTATTGTACAAATTGACATGCAACTTTAACTAAATCATGGTATTGCTTAATCAGTTTTTTGTTCCTACAGATCATTTGAATACATTCTAGCGTAATGGTTTCATAACTGCAGTTGGATAACCTCGCTTAGTTGTCATTGGCGACAGTTCTCTCCATACATTGCTACTTAAATCTAAACACTCTACAGAACTGAGATATGTTTTAGTTTCATAATCATGTCCGCCCACAACAATAATAACATTGCCAGCGATAACTGCTGCACTTCCTGCTCTTTTATGATTAAGACAAGGCAACATTTTAATTTCTCCTGTTTTCACATCATACATTACTACACTGTTTAATGTTTGAACTTTCTGATCAACACCTCCGATCAAAATTACATTACCTTTATAACTAACACTAGCCATTTCAGCAATAGCAAATGGCAGTGGTGGTAAGGTTTTACATTCATTATTGTTCAGGTCATATACGCACACAGTGCTTTTAGTGTCCTTGATGTATTTTGATGCCCTTCCTCCAGCCAGTAGAACCTGGTTGTCAATCATCTCACAACTATGGCGACATTTTGGTTCTGGCATCTGGGTCAGTAATTTCCGATTATGTGGAGGATTTAGACTGATTTCGTAAATCTCATCAGAAACATTGTCACCGTACCATCCACCAGTTAAAATAGCACTGTTCTCTTGACACACCATTTCGTGTCCACTCGACTCGAATGGCATTTTGACAAGAGACTTGACCCATTCTAAATTTTCTTCGTCAACATTGTAGCTTTCAATACTGTCAGTGGCCTTGGTCCCAATGATGCCGCCACTGACATATATTTCACGACCATGGACAAATGCCGAAAGGCTTGATCGTGCCTCCTTCATTGCTGGTTCCAGTGTCCAGGAATTCTCGGGCCAGCTGTATGTCTCTACGGAATTCAAAACAGTCTTATCATCCCGCCCTCCACAAACAAAAATCTTCTGTCTACCAGTGAATAAATTACATCTTTCGGTCGCTTCTTTTGCAAGACATGCCATTTCCTCTTGAGTCAACTTTACTTGGTTTTTTACTTCATCCTCGACGTCCCTCACATCATTTTGAACAATGTTTAATCTTCTCGCTAAATCGTCCATTTCTTTTCGCATGAAGCACGGGTGTACACGACTTGACTTCCATATTACTTGTTCTCCACACTCGTCGCAAACGATCTTACGAAACTGACACTGTTCACGTTCGTGTCGTTCTTTCTCGTGTCGGTTCATGACTTCTGCGCAACCAGCGTTTGTACAAGGTGTTGGTGAATAACCACAGCTGTCGACATGCCGATCAAGAACTTCAAGCCTGACCAACTCTCGACAGCCACGGTTTTCGTGATCACAACGAATCATGAGATTCTCCAACAATTCAGTCAAAAGTCTCGGTGGTTTGGTTAAGGTTTCTTCCGTCAGATGGTGTTGACACACAGGGCAGTATTCGGAGTTTTCGTGCAAACACTTTTGAATACACGAGTGGCAGAAGTAGTGTTCATTCGGGCATTGTACGGGATCTTTTAAGACCTTGAGACAAATAGAGCACTCGAATTTAATGTCAACTTTGTTTTCAAACCGCACTTCGTCATATCCACCGAATGAATCTGGCCCATAATCTGGCTTCGCCATTTCTCTTCGAAACAAACTGAAGAAAACGTTTGCTATGTTTTTGATATTTTTGTTAGAAAGACAGATTTTAAAGACGCTGTCTTAGAGCTTCCCTGTTCATACTGAAAGAAAATAGACAGATGATGTGTCGTTATATCATAAGACCACTTCAGATAATATCGATACCAAACAGTGTTCTTTTGTGAGTCATAACACATCATTTGAACATAACAAAGGTTTTTTAAAGAAAATTATGCATAGAATGTTTCTAAACAATACTTGGAACTCGAATTCATGGACATGGGAATCTCGCTCTATCTTTCTGAATACAAAACTTGCAAAGCATTATTTAAATCATTTCGTTTGCCAATGTTCCAAGAGAGAGCTTACTAGAAGGCAGACATTGATGTAAGGCTCTTTCACAGATTTTGAGGAATAACATAATTATATATATTCTGTTAGGTCATTAAATGGCGCCATGTAGTATACATTTCAAAGTGTGGGCGTGGTTGTGTTCTTTTGTAAGTCATGCGGAGCATTTTAGCGCAACCCCAATTACTTGGGAGACAATTATGCATAAAATAATTTTAAATACTTGAATTCATTGGAAATTTGGAATCTCGCTACCGATATATCTTTCTCAGGTCAAAAATCCTTTAGCTATCGAGGTGTAAGGATTTGGAACAACTTAACTACCGGTTTCAAAGACTTGACTTTAAGTACTTTTAAGAAATCAGTAACTGAATCATATCTCTAAATTTCTAATTTAATTTGTAATAGCATATTTTTACTTTTTTATTGTATAGTATAAATATGCATAGGTTTGATTACCTTTGTAAACTGAGGGAGTGCCACCTTCATTAACCTTTTACAATACTAAATGTTAGATTGGTGTCCACCCTCAATAAATAAACTGATTCATTCACTCATTCATACAAATCGTTATTTAAGACTTAAGTCCAAAAACACTTTTCTTTGCCAATGTTTCAATTTCTTGATTCAAGACGAGTTAATTATCTGCTAGATTTTCTTGGCATCTCACTCCAATGAATAATTTATATTTGATAGGTATTGTAAACGGAAATTGTCGAGTGGAAATTTATATATGTACATTTATTAAACCTGATCAGGAACAACTGCGGAAAATGCAACTTTAGGTAATCGAACCTGCGGCCCTGCGGACAGATATTTGATGTAAGACTAATTTCATTTTGATAAATAGTATTGACGCATTGGCGAGGTAACGGATTAAATGCAGCGAAGCATCGATATCAAGCTGCGTTCTTTTGTAAGTCATATAGAGTGTTATAATTATATAGCAATTGTAAATTCTGAACGCTGATTGGCTAAGAGCCGTGTTGATATAACTCAATGTCAACACGGAAACGTCGGAAAATTTCTTTCTTTATGTTTCTTTGTGCTATATTATAAAACAAATATAAAACATTTTTCCGTATTGATATACAGTTATATCAACATTCGTGAAAATTGGAAAAACTCGAAATTGTGTGAAAACACTCCACACAATTTCTCGTTTTCCCAATTTCCACTCGTGTTGATATAACTGTATATATATCAACACGGAAAATGTTTTATATTTGTTAATTTAACACAATTAGGAAACTAAAGTTAATTAAAGAAAATTATGCAGAAAATGTTTTTTAAGTATTACTTGGAAATGTTTCCTACTACAAAGCTGATTAATATTTAGATCTAAAAACTATTTCATTTGCTGATGTTGCTCAACAACTTTATACTGGATAGCTCAATCAAGTCCAAACTCTTCCTCTTAGAAATTCAATAACAGTCACAATTTTTGGCCCCGTGTAACCACTGAAAGAAACCTAAACTAAACTAACTTTATGTATCCTGGATAGTATAGCTTTATCCAAACTGTTCTCCCTAGAGCTCCATTAAGAAACTAGAATATTTGGAAAAAACCTGAGGTGTTTAGTGGAGTCAAACGCCATCAAATTTGATTGTTTACATAGTGGAGGCTGGATAAAAGTGGGAAAAACTTTCTGATCCCTGAGGGACCCCTAATACCCTTGCAATACCCAAAAACCCTTCTTACCTCGCGTTTCTTTGTATTTCTCAGCAAAGACGAATCGCTTGTCCTGGTGGATTGCAATGATTTCGAAATATTCAATTTCGTGTCTGATGGTTTTTGAAATGTTTCCACTAAAGTTTCTCCTGGTCTGCTAGGTTCAAGTTTATCGCGTGTCATTCTGAGCGATGGTTTCGTAGCAATTTCTGCAGTCGGCATGGGCTCGTGTCTATCGTTGATACTCCTGAGGGATGCTTTTCTCTTCACTATTTCTTCGTCAGCAGACACAGCGGTTACCTCGTCAATGTCTCCGATAGACTTACGATTGTACACTTTCGACATTGTTCGCCTGCGCTCGGGCTTTCCGATTCTCAAGCTATCTCGTGAGGGATGGTTAATAATTTGGTCAGACTCTGAGTCGAATAATCCCAAAGCGAACTCTATAGCGAAAGAGCGAGAAAACATTTTATAAATTTAACTATACAATCAAACTATCTTTTCATTTAAATAGTACATCCCTCAGATAACTGGTAAAAATAGTGAAATTTGCCGCAATGGATGATTCCTAGCCTGAAACAGCCGCATATTTCTTAAATGAATCCAGCTACAGACTAAATTTTGATCTAGGCACGAAAAACAAAATCCATCAGCACAGCTAGAAAGAGCATATTGAAATTAGTAAAATTGCAAAGTTTGGCTGCGAAATGTGTATTTTCCCGAGCGTAATACAAATTAATACAAAATTTGCAAATTTCGCATGGCTATATTTTTCGCATTTTGCAACCACATTTTGGCCGAAAGTGGTTTGTGTTCTTGGATTGCCGAGATAAAAAAAAACCCAACTATATCCATAGTATGTAAATTGCAATCAGTGTCTGTGTGAAAATTGGATTTCCAACTATTTCCAACGAAGACTATTAGGATTTTGAACAAAATTTTCCAGTGGATATTGTTATGCAAAGTGTTTTTACTGGCCAGTTGTAAGGTGCCTTTTGTTATGTTTTTATCATGACTAAAGCGGAGACTTTTCAAAACTTTAGAAAAATGTTCGCCACCTTTTGATACATTTTTTTGAATTTCTTCCTCTTTGTTCATCCCTTCCGGTTCAAGAAAGGGGAGAGGCCATCTCTCCCAACAACGTCGAACAGGTCGCGTTCCTAGCAAATAAAACAATGAACCATTTACACAACAGCATGGAACAATAGTGCCATCCAGTCACGATCCAGTGATCAGAATGTCACATTAGTTTTTGAATTTTTTTTTAATGTTTTTTAATTTTCTTCCTGTAGTAACACTGGATCAATAAGAGATGATCCTTACTGGACCTCTAGGAAGAACAATTTAGAACCGATAGAGCTATCCAGTATAAATAATGTTAGTTTAGTTTAGGTTTCTTCCTGTAGTAACACTGGATGATGGATCAATAAGAGATGATTCTTACTGGACCTCTAGGAAGAACAGTTTAGAACTGGTAGAGCTATTCAGTATAAATAAAGGTAGTTTAGTTTCAACAACATATTGTTGATATGCATCAAAAACTGGATTTAAAAGTATGCAACATATAATTACCCACAATCCACAAGTAAGTAACGTCGGCCAGATCTTGTTTGAAACGATCGTCAAATTGTCGGTACGAGGTCGGAAATGCTCGACAAAATACAGTGTACACTGCCTGACATACTAAGGATGGAAAACGCGTAAAGAATGTCTCTCTGTGAATATTTTCTGAACCACTGATGATCAGTTTGACGTAGTTACACGCAACTCGAGTGAATAGCTGACTCTGCACTTCTGGACAGGACTAAGATTAAAAATATAAATTTATAAGACTTTTCCATGTTGTCAGTTAGACACCATGAAACGTCGCAGTTCTTTCGGGTACAATTCAGTTAGTTTAGTTTAGGTTTCCTCCTGTAGTAACACTGGATCAATAAGAGGTGATCTTTACTGGACCTCTAGAGAGAACAGTTTGGAACTGATAGAGCTATCCAGTATAAATAAAGTTAGTTTAGTTTAGGTTTCCTTCTGTAGTAACACTGGGTCAATAAGAGATGATCCTTACTGGACCTCAAGGAAGAACAGCTTAGAACTGATAAAGCTATCCAGTATAAATAAAGTTTGTTTAGTTCAGGTTTCCTCCTGTAATAACACTGGATCAATAAGATATGATCCTTACTGGACCTCTAGGAAGAATAGTTTAAAACTGATAGAGCTATCCAGTATAAATACAGTTAGTTTAGTTTAGGTTTTATTTTTAAGTCAGTAAATATTAATACACATACTGACTAAATGGCAAGAAGAAACGCTAAATATACCTGATACTTTTCAAGGAACAACCACCAAAACAAATCCTACAAAAATTCAAATTCAAAATGTAATATAACGTAACTTTCGAAATAACGCAACTTTCATAAAAATTCTTAAAAGGCAAAGGCTCATACCGCTAAACCTATACGTGCTATACCATGGATGAAGAAACTTTTTCAACGAAAGACGATAATTTTGACACAATTAAAAAAAAAAGATAATATATACCTGAATAAGAGCTTGAGTTGGATGACTAAGAAACATTCTTTTAAATTCTTTCCTAAATCCAGGCTAAAAAAAATACATGAACCTTTTATGAAATATATTAACCTTTTCAGTGGCATTGCGTCCTTTACACTTAAAATTTTTGCTGTGATTTTAGGTGCGAATTTCTTCTTTCAAGTCAAAAAAAATTGGGTTCCTTTAAAAAATGAAAATCTGCCCTTGGTCCCAGATAAGTGTTGGGACAATGTCATGTAGCCTAAAATATATACTTGTCTGTTTTTAGTACGCAAAACAATGTCAGGTGACTTGCACTTCAAAAGTTTCAATTTAGTTCAGCTGGCGCTAGGCCACGAGAACGTCACATAAAAAACACAATATTCCTTAACTCCGATCTGAATGTCGCAGGCTAACTAAAATTCCCAATTTTAATTAAATTGACGAATTTTTTAATCTTCTGGTAACACCCCAGTGGCCAAAATGAATTGATGTACTAAACCATTCACAAATATAAGATTTACTTGATACACACAGTCCTTACTTTCTTTATGAGATCTCTTTGGGCACGCGTGACAATGTTTAAAATATATCTAGCTGATAATGACGCTGGTAACGGAGTCAACTCGTCTGCATGGAAACCAGGAAATGTGTGCAACTAAATATGAAAAATAAAATGAAAAATACTTTTTATCGATACAAGACTTAACCTGATTTATGCTGCAAAAAAATATACCAGGATGCGAATTAACAGCCTAAAATGACAAATTGTCATACAAAAAACAGTTTTGTAAGCCAAAAAATTAGAACTTTAACTTTAAACATCGAAATAAATTCTCGGCAAAATATCATATACCAAGGAATATTAGAAAATGTTTTTGCAGAACAAACTTGGCAGCTAACACTGAACTGACAGGATTAACATTATTGAGTTTGAGATCTTTGAACAAAAAATGTGTAATCATGATCATACCTCAACCAACATTGGTCTTTTGGAAACACTTGATTGGTTTTTGTGAATCTAGAGGATTTGCATAAATTGTCCATTTTAGCAAGTTATGTAATTCTATCTACAGTGGCGGAAATCGTGGTGGAGGCGCGGCACCCCCTCATCACAGAAAATTGACGAATTTTCGGAAATTTTGACCTAAAAGAGGGCTAAAAACAGTGTTTTCAAGGGGGGGGGGGGTATGTCGGAAATTTGAAAGTTTTATCGGAAATTTAGGAGGCTTTGCCCCCCCCCCCCGGAAAAAGTGAATTTCCGCCACTGTCTATCTATTGAATCTATATATAGTTGTAACTGAAATATATGTCTGAAAATAAAATCATAGTACCTTGCTGAAAAGTTTTTTCTTTTGACCTTCAGCAAGTTTGGAAGGTCCTACATTTAGAGGATTTGTATTCTTTTCCATGACTAAAACAAGAAGATATTATTTCAAGCAGCATTCTAACATTTTCAATCTCTCTATTGGCCTGTGTATTTGTTGGTGAAAGTTGACAAGAATGAATATGGGTCAATAAGAGTTAATGGTGTTCAAACACAAGATTTAATTGACAGACTTTACAGTAATAGTCAAGATTCATTTGCACACCTGTTCTTAATGAGTACACTCCAGCAAATTTGTTCATATCTCTTTTTGCTTTTTCTGAAAAATACAGTAAGATCACTTTGAATTTGACTTTTTGCTAAAGGAGTTAACTGCTAAACTGGATATAGTAATGAAATAGCAGGGATCTGCAAAGCATGTACTCAGTTTATTTTGGTATATTGCACAGTGGCAGCAGTCAATCAAAATTTGCAAACCTCTGGTAGAGACGCTAGATCTTCTTGTCACTTGCTTCGGTGCACGATAATCAATCTCGAGATTTCCAAAACCAAACATATTGTCATCATGTCCACTTGAGGATGTCCGCACATCTGCATAACTGTCGATAACCAGCTCGTTATCCGGGCAGAACGAGATCAATTCTGTGTCCAGATTGCTAATTTTTTTACTGATAGAGTCAATCGAATCCACTCTGCCTGTTGGGGCTATATATAGGTTTGATTGTCAAGGAACCATAGTCATGCACGCAGAACAATATACCAGGGGCCGGTTGTACGAAAGGTGGATAAATCGCTATCCGGTGGATAAGTCCCTATCCAGCGGATAAATTTTATCCGGAGTAAAAATCGCGTTGTACGAAGCTTGGATAGCGCTATCCAACGGATAAAATGCACTATCCGTTGGATAAATTTATCCGAGGTCCGGAGGTAGTTTAAATCCACTATCCGGCGGATAAACTCGAAGTATGAAGACAAAACAATGTTTATTTCATTTAAAAAGGATTGCTATTGTGATAGAAATGGACAAATACCGTTTAGAAGTCCCTTTTTTGACACTAAATAAACATGGAAACTTACTTATGACTTCTCTTGCTCTTGACGTACCGAGCTCACTTTGAGTCACTTGCCCATTAAATAATGCCATGACTTTGCCATATTTTATGCAGACCTGTGTCAGTGCTTAGACGTTACGTTTTCTAGCTAGTCCTTACGTTATATAGCTCGAAAACAAGCAATAAAACTTTCATTAAATGAGTTCCCTTCAACGCCAAACAAATATAGCTGCATATAAATAGACAACAAGGCGCCGAAAGTCGAAAAATTTTGTTCGATGGCCTTGATCAGCCAATCAAATCTTGCGAGAAAATGTTCTTAAAATTGTTTTGAATGACGTGAAAGGTCAAAGAACAAATATTCAGACAGTATATAAACTAAAACTGAATCAACGTACTGAAACAAGAAAACAAACTCGCAGTCTTTGCTATTGCCTTCGCATAAAGAAGCCAAAAATCTTTTAAAGAAATATCGATAAGAAGATAGCAAACTCTTCACTGTGGGAAAACGAAATATTGCAACGATTGGACGAGAAAAACTCCAAAATATAAACATGAACAAAAAACTTTTATATTGCAAGTTGATAGTTCAAAGGTTAGTGGAATTCACAAGTTATACGAAGATACTACAACAAAAGTTTACAAATACCTAGCAACAGCTGACGTAGAGATAAGAAATTTCAGGAAAATCCGGTTTTCTCCGGTTAAAATTAAGGTTATCCGACGGATAGCTATCCACCCTGCTATCCGTGCTTCGTACAACGCATTTTTATTCGGCAGATAGCTATCCATTGGATAGGAGATTTATCCATTGGATAGGACTTATCCACTGGATAACTTATCCACCTTTCGTACAACCGGCCCCAGAAAAATAATACTAAAAAATCGATAACAATACGTGACCAGCGGAAAAGTCGTAAATTAGAAATGGGAAGATACTTAAGTTCAATTGATTGGACCTTAATGCTCAGTTCCTTGGATACTTGCGAAAATATGTGGACAGTCTTCCAAGAAGTAGTTCATTCTGGACTAGACACCATAATGCCAGAAAAACAAATTCGTATTCACCCAGCTGACGCTCCATGGATGAACCAGAAGCTTAAATCCCTAATTTTTAAGAGACAAAAAGCTTTCAATGCGCACAGTGTACATTCCCCCTAATTTAAATATTACCGAAATTGTGTCAACAGAGAAAGAAAAGTCTGCAGGGCAAAATACTACGAATCCAACATTAAACAACTTAAAGGAGAAGTCCCAAGGAAGTGGTGGAATGAGGTTAAGCGGTTAAGTGGAATAAAGTCGGCAGGCACAAATTTATCCCATTAAATCAATGTCGAAGGATTTACGAACCTCCCTCCACATGAACAAGCTAACACCATTGATACTGCCTTTCTTGCACCCTTGGCCGAATACAGAATATCAGAACCCCTCGAACGTCTTTCGTTAGAAGACCCACCGAAATTTTTGCAAGTTACCGAAGAACGTGTTCAAAAAGTTCTAGCAAAACTAAATCCTCACAAGGCGCCTGGGCCAGACAATCTACCAAACTGGATTTTTAAAGAATATTCTTACCTTTTGGCCCTTCCTGTCATGAAAATTATCAATGCTTCCTATTACGAACAGCAGTTGCCTACCATCTGGAAGAAAGCAAATGTTTCGCCGTTACCCCCCAAAAAACCAGTGACTATATTGGAAAAAGATCTCAGGCCTATTTCCCTGACTCCCTGCATCTCTAAAGTGGCAGAGGAATTCATTGTTGAGGATTATGTTAAACCGGCAATTCTAGACATAATCGATGCTAGTCAATATGGAGCGATTCCAAACTCGTCAACCACTATGGCGTTAATTAGTATGCTGCATCACTGGTTTATAAACACTGACGGGAATGGGGCGACAATAAGGACAATATTGTTTGATTATCGCAAGGCATTCGATTTTATCGACCATACCATTCTTGTAAAGAAACTGGGTAATTTGAACATACCTAGAAGTATAATTAACTGGATAATAGATTTTCTTTCTCATAGAACGCAGAGAGTCAAATTGGCCGATAGCTGTTTTTCTGAGTGGGGCCTTGTTCCGTCTGGTGTACCGCAAGGTACAAAGCTAGGTCCATGGTTATTTATTTTGATGATCCAAGACCTGAATATTAATTCCCCATACCTGTGGAAGTTCGTGGATGATGCCACAGCATCGGAAATTCTTCCCAAAGGCAATGTTAGTACAGCCCAAAACATAGCAGATCATATTAAGCAATGGTAAGAAGAAAATAGATTAAAACTACATCCAGTCAAATGTAAAGAATTGAGAATTTCTTTTAGTAAGGACCCAGTTGTTCTAGATCAAGTCATACTTAATGGTAAAGAAGTCGAAATAGTCGAAAGTGCTTAATTATTGGGAGTAACAACAAGTAACAATCTAACTTGGCATGCCCATATAAAAGAGGTCGTCAAAAAAGTAAGAGACTATATTATCTGGTTCAATTAAAAAGAGCTAGGTTACCAGTTAAAGATCTTGTGTTATTCTATACGTCTTGCGTTAGATCTGTCATGGATTACGCAGTACCAGCCTTTTATCACTCTCTTCCACAATACTTAAAGAACGAATTGATTCAACTGGAAAAAAGGGCTATTTCAACAGGGGCGGATCTAGGGGTTGTCAAATAAGTCGCGCGACTAACGTAAAAATTGCGCAGATAATTACTGATTCATAAAATTGTCCAGTACTCCAGTTGTAATCCTTCCTGCAGTGATAGCAAATGTAATTAATATTCACAATAGTCCAGTTATCAAGTTTCATTCAGCTGCATTTCGGTTGTAAGCTCAGTGGCCTTGACTTACTTGAGGCAGATTCTAGCCATTTGATTGGTCGAGAATGGTTTTGCCTTATCTTGGTAGGGTAGGTAACTCCAGTTTAGTAAATTGACCCTTACTAAAAGGTATTGAACAATCAAACTCTCGACGAAGCAAATTCGGTTTTATAAAAATATATTATTGAAAATCACTCACATGCAGTTGTATACGCGGTCTAGTCTCTCTCACAGTCACTACATTCCAGGGCGCTTATATAGAGGGCGGTGAAACGGCTATAGGCGCGCCGATCGATGTGTGATGCAATGAACTGGTAACGAGTTTGTTGTGGTTACTATGGCGACGTTGTCTTATATGGCAAGGATAAATATGGCGGGAAAACTGAGCTGGAAGTTTTGACTGTTTTGTAGTCAAGTTTTGATGAAGAAATAGATATTGGGGGTAAAATTCCGATGTTATACGATAATTTAGTAGATTCTGCTATTGTATTTTCAGGTAATACTGCCAATATTTTAGAGTTTTTGCTCAAAACGCTTGCGAAAGCTTACGAGCGGTTGCTTTCGCAAGAAGCATGACGTGAAAGGTTTTTAAAACTCTTCGGATGTACACGTATCGTTCACGTTCGATAGAATACAGTTCACAATTAATTTTAGCCACTAGTTGATCTTTTCAGTTGAAAATCAAGAAATGCTCAACTTGAATTTGTATTTTTTTAACGAATCCTTACGAGAAGTTGTCTTGGCCAGCCGGTCAAAAAAAATCAAAGTTGGGACGAAACTTTTTCGACTATTGCGCTCAACAAACGTCCGAGCGAGTCGTATTTTGATTCAAAGGCCAAGAAGTAAAATATGTTTACGGCTCAGAATTACTTCAATTGAATGCCTTAAAAGTCGTACAAAATTATTAACATAATAACCAAAAATCATGACATGGCCAAAATACAATTGTTGTTTATTTTTTTGCAGCGAAATAATGGTCTAATTAGGCAAAATTTAACACACAAAAATACCTCACTTTCCAACGCTGTGTATTCAATTGCTCAACTCCGAGTCTTATGAAAACTTTTGGAGATAAGCACATAATTATAATCTTTACCATCAACTGAATTTCGAAGTTTGGACGACTTGATAACATGCCCAAATGCTGTTTTGAAAATTTCCCTTCATTGAAGTCATCAAAAGCCCGACTCATTATCCTCAATATTTCTTTCAAAATTCAACTATACAGGCCAAACAAGTATTCGTACGATACACTAGTTACTACTTCGTCGTTACAGTGCAAAAACATCCTCAAGAATTTCGTAGTTAATGAAAAAACAGCAAAAATACAACAGCAGGAAAAATCACGCTCCTTGTCAACTTTTGCCGTGCCAGTCCTTTTCCGCATCACACATCGATCAGCACGACATCAGCGCGTTTCACCGCCCTCTATATAAGCGCCCTGCTATACATTCCTATCTTTTAACTCTTTTTGATAATAATCTAAATGTGTCAATCATGCAATGATCGTCCCTAATTAAAGTAATAATTAATCCTGCTATTAAATCACAAATATATATAGACAGTCTCAACTATATGTATATATAGACAGTCTCCGACACCAGTAAAAAATGCCTATGGTTGCTTTAAAGCACATTTGAACTTGAATTTGCGCTCAAAGCAACACTCATGACCGACTTCTACAAAAACGAAGACATGATGCTATTTTGCTGTTGTATTTGCGTGTACAATACTATGTTTTACATAAGAATCAGTTTCGATCTAACAACATTAGGCGACTTAAAAGTGCCTTTTTGTGGTTGTAACTTTTCTTCAAACCTCGTCCTAAAATACGTGAAATAGCGTTATAATGAATCTAGAAATTCAAAATTTTCCTCGCGCTCGCACTCGAAATCCATAAAAATTTTGCTCCCCCTCCCCCCTCCAAAGGTTTAGACCACTGCAAAAGTTCTGAAAAACTGAACGTTTATTTAAACTCTATACATAAATATTTTTTCGATCTAACAACATTAGGCGACTTAAAAATGCCTTTTTGAGTGGTTGTAACTTTTCTTCAAACCTTGTACTAAAATACGTGAAATAGCGTTCTAATGAATCTAGAAATTCAAAATTTTCCTTTCGCCTACGGCGCTCTCATTCGAAATCCATAAAAATTTCTACCCCCCCCCCTCCGAAAGTTTATACCACTGCAAAAGTTCCGAAAAACTGAACGTTTATTTAAACTCTTGGAATACTATCCCCGTCTTACAGTCTATGCGCTTTAAATAGTTGGCTTTTCTTACCAAACACAAATACTACAAAAGTCGGTCCCAGAACATAGGACACCCCCCCAATTTTTTTCGAATGTGCGCCCCTGTCCAAGAACCCACAAGGGTTACGGCAAGTGGAGCAAGTTTATTGGATCTAATAATTACAAATTCGCCAGGCTATTTTTTTGATTCTGGGATAATTAGTCCGCCTAGTAATTGCGACTACTGGCAAGATGAGTATAAGTTTTGATAAAACCAATTGTTATAAGCGCCATATTTGCATGGGAACTTTCACGTGTGGATGAGAACAAACTTCGAAAAGCTATATTAAATGCCCCTTGGGATGTTGTATTTGCAGACACATACAAAATATTGACACATTATATAATGCTTGGTTTGATTGTTTTCGAGATGTTTTCATGACTCATGTGCCTAATATATAAAACAGTCGTGGATGAATTCCGAAGTAAGACGCGGGCTGTTAGAAAAATAAATCGTTTACTAAAAAAGTGTTGTGCAAATAAGAATCCAGAGAATTGGGAATTATATAGGCGACAAAGGAATAATACAACAACTTTAATATACGTAAAAGTAAAATATCGTTCTATAACAAATTAAACAATAAATTAAATGATGTACTTCTTGGTCCTAAGAAATGGTGGGGAATAGTTAAACAATTGTATGGGAGTAAAATTTAATCGAGCGTGCCTGCATTGCTTGAGAATATCAGCAATAGAAACACCAGGCGGAAATCGAATTCTAGTTGAAAATATTATTGCCCAGCAAATAACTCGTAAAAGAGGCATATTCAAAAAAAAATTTGGAATATAAAAAATATTTAATTTATTGAGTAACGTTTCGTCACATTACAAGCGACATCATCAGACTAAATACAATTAAGCTATTTCATCTATTTTATAACAAATTTTGAAAAAATATATGATATACAATTACAAAGAAGAAGAATTCTAGAGAAGCCGGTCATCCAATTGAACCAAGTGATTTTAAAATTGTTACTTCAGCTAATTCTAACGATGATATTCTTATTAAAGAAAGCTTACTAATTGCTCAAACTAAACCATGGCTTAATAATAATGTCCGATCCTTTCCGTTAACACTCTTCTAAGTAGGTGTTTCCTCTTGTTAATTTACTAACATCTTTTAACACTGACGCTAACCACTTGACATTCCTTTTTAATCCATATCTTTCACTAATCTCATTATCTTGTGCATGTCAATATACCATGAACATTGTATATTTCTAATTTTAACTTTTTAACCGTTTGTAATTGTATATCATATATTTTTTCAAAAGTTATTATAAAATAGATGAAATAGCTTAACTGTATTTAGTCTGATGATGTCGCTTGTAATGTGACGAAACGTTACTCAATAGATTAAATATTTTTTATATTCCAAATGTTTTTTGAATATGCCTCTTTTACGAGTTATTTGCTTGAGAATAACTGTATAATTACTGATGCTAAAGAAAAAGCTACTTTATTGAATGAATATTTTTCCAGTCGATGTAAAATACCAGATTTAGATGCCCCATATACCAAGTACTAGAGTATTCCAAAGCTCCAAATCCGCACTAGGCAAGATTACCACATGTGAAACTGAAGTCATTAATTTACTGAAAAACTTGAATATTGCAAAGGCAATTCCCTTTTAAAAATATGCGGAAATGCTATTTATTTATTTATTTATTTAATTTATTTAATCATTTGTCACAACACAATCATTAGGCATACATCTACAATAAACAGAGGACATAAGTGTGACTGGGGAAAGGAACAGGACTTGCGTCCCAATTGACACCTGACCCCAACATTATAACTAGACTTTGCTGCTTGTTGCACACCGAGCACAATGACTTTTCGCATGATTTGTGACAAAAGTACTGAGGTACACATGGGAATAGGTCATTAGTAAGTGAATGTCAATATTTCTAACTATTCCTCGAACAAATCACTAGCCTAACCAAAAACTTATTTTGCAACAGAATCATATGGAGCCTCAGGAAGGCCCTGAGACCAAGTAAACAACAAGCAGCCAAGCACGTTAGTACAGTACATTACACAAATAACTTTTATAACTTATAGATCTAAGTAAAGCCAGGAGGACTGTAAGAAGTTAACTTAGAAACATAATGTTTACGTATACTAATCTTGATAGAGTTAAGCGAACCACAGATTTTTAGCTGCTGTTTATGTTTTAAGAGGAAATAGTAATTATTTTCATTATAATTGCGAGATCTAAAACCAGGCTCGTACAAACATAAAAAGTTATTAACGTCCATAGGAATGAGTCCGGTTTTTGACTTATACAGTAAAATCAAGTCCGTGATCTCTCTGCGGAATTCTAACGGAAGGAGGTTGGTTGCGATCAATCTTTCCGTGTACGACATTTCCTTTGGGTAATTAATTTAGAATGAACTTCGTTGCTCTCCGCTGAACGTTCTCGATTAATGATCGATGTTTAACGGCTCTGGGTGACCACACGTTACTAGCATACTCTAACTTGGGCCTGACGAGGGTGCAGTACAATAATCTCCTTGTAGCGAAATCAGTTATGCCCTTGCTTATCCTTTTAATGAGACCCAGTGTCTTGTTGGCTTTTGCTGCAATGTTCTCGATGTGTTTAAACCACGATAAATCGCTAGAGACTGTGATACCAAGGTCCAAGATATGCGTAACTTGTTCGAGTTGCTGTCCAGAAAGAATATAGGATGTTTCAGTTTTCAATTTCTTTTTGGAGAAGTGCATAACTTTGCATTTCGTCGTGTTAAAATCCATTTTCATATCAACGCTCCATATCTGTAGGCTGTCAAGGTCGTGCTGGAGCGATGTACTAGCGTTAGGGAGGTCAAGAGATCTGTACAGTTTAGAATCGTCGGCAAAGAGTGCGAGTGTCGAGTTTGCTTGTATGTAATTTTGAACGTCATTGCAGTAGATCAGAAACAAAATTGGACCAAGTATGGAGCCTTGTGGTACGCCAGATGTAACCGGGAGCCAATCGGAACACACGCCATGAAGAACTACACGTTGTTTTCGATCTGTCAAGTAGCTTCGAAACCATGCAAGGAGAGGCCCGCCAATTCCGGAATTCTCGAGTTTCTTCAACAACAGATTGTGTGGAACTTTGTCAAAGGCTTTCGATAAATCCAGGTAAATAGCATCGACTTCCTTACCACTCGCAACATGTTCCAGAATGTCATGGTACACTTCTAACAGTTGGGTTGTTGTTGATTTCCCTCTCATGAAACCGTGTTGCATCTTGTAGATGAGTGGTGCTAAGTGGTAGTAGGAGTGACTGTGAACGCAACGTTCTAGAACTTTAGGCTCCGTTTACACTGTACCGGATTGCTATCGGAGTGGGTCAAATTTTGTAGGTATCGAAAGGCTGTGAAGTTTTTTAATCTCAGAGACCCAAATAAACATGCCAATTCTGTCAAACTAATAAGCATTTGCTACTAACCATTGCTCCGTAACGGCAAAAGAAGATGTCGTGACCAGCGAATCCGGTACAGTGTAAACAGGGCCTTAGACAACACACAGAGTAGAGAAATCGGCCGATATTTGCACGAAAGTGAAGGATCGTCTTTTTTAAATACGGCCGTGATATTAGCACGTTTCCAATTGATGGATACTACGCCAAGTGAGAGAGACATGTTGAACAGTCTGGTTAATCACAGTTTATAGTCTTAGTCTATAAACTGTGGGTTAATGAAGGTGTGATAACATTTGCAAGTTCAAACAACAATCTACTTGGAATCCCATCTGGTCCGCAAGCCTTTTTAGGGTCTAGGTGACAAAATACTTCAGCAACTTCAGAATCTCCTAATTCGATATTGCAGAGTTGAGGAGTTGAGGGTGTTAGTGTTTCAGATGTCGAAGTGGGTGATTCTGCTTCCCGAGGGTTGAAGACGGAGTGGAAAAATTTTTGTTTGGGATGTCAGCCATGCACATTTTATCTGTTGTAAAAGCACCGTCAGTTCGAAGAAAATTAACAGATTGACGCAATTTCGTTCTTGATTTTACCGCCGACCAGAAACGTTTTGGGTTCTCGAACCGAGACTCGGACAGTTTTTTATTATAATCCTTTTTCTTTGAGATCAGCTTTTTAGTCTCACGCCGTAACGTTCTATACTTTTCCAGATCGTCTGAGGATTGTGATTTCTTTAACTTTTTTCTTTGGATGTTTTTCTTCTTAATTTGAAGGGATAGTTCTTTATCAATCCATGGGTGATCATTAGTATTCTTTACAAAATGTTTCGGGATGTATTTGTCGACAGCTGACATAAATAAATCACACCAGTTCGAAAGTGACTCGTCGACGTTATCAGAAACAAAACATTCATCCCAGGGCGCGTATGCGAGTTGTTGTTTAAGACCAGGCCAGTTTGCTTTTTTGAAATTGTAAACCACGCGTTTTACTTTAGCTTTCTTCGCGATATTAAAATTAATATCAAAACTTATAAGTCTGTGGTCAGTGTTCAGAATGTCATCGAACCCTTGTACGTTTCGAACTTTGTCAGGAATGTTGGTGAGGATAAGATCCAGAGTAATATCTGCTCTAGGTGAAAAGTTAACCAGTTGCCACAAGTAGTTGTCTTTGATTGTTTTGGTGAAGTAGTTGGTAATGAGATCGTTGGATGTAGCTATTCCGGTAGTCCAATCAATATGAGGCAAGTTAAAGTCGCCACAAATGATGACCTGGTCAAATTTGTTGTTGCTTTGAACAAGCTGCAGGGATTTCTTGAGTTGCTTGATGTAGTTCAAGTCCGTGTCAGGTGGTCTGTAGAAAACAATCGCAAGAAGTTTTCCCTTATTTTCTGGATGAATTTCACACACTAACATCTCCGCATTGCTTTCAAGATCTTTTCTTCGGACGCTTAGGATGGTATTCCGAACAGCTAACAATGTTCCACCACCAGTTCGCTCAGTCCGGTCGCAACGATGGATGGCAAATTCATTTCCAGGCAAGAGTTCACAGTTTGCGATTTCAGGTTTAAGCCAAGTTTCAGTTACTGCAAGTAGATCAACATCAGTAACGAGCGTTTGAAGTTCAGTAATTTTGTTAGTTAAGCTTCGTGCATTGAAATACAGACATCGCATGTAGTGGATGTTAGTGTCATCATCAGGACCGGGGGATGATTCAGTGGTACGAGGTGGAGTAGTACTGGGACCAGGGTTTGTAGCCACATCACCAGCCAGTAAGATTAGAACTAGGGATCCAAGGATAGTGCAATGTTTCTGAAAACTTGAAAAGTCATTACGGTAATATCAAATCTTTCAAACATATTGTTCATAGTTTTGCAATTCATTTGTCCAAATGATGCGGTTCACGAATGCAAAACTGTTGCAAATTAATTTTGTTGTAAATTACCGGTAAGCTTGAAGTAGACGAAATTTTGAACTTTTAGAGGAACTTTTGAACTTATTACAGCCATTTTCGTCCAACCATACCACAAGTCGCAAAAATTTCCGAGCGTTTGTTTACGTTTGTGACGTAGCTAACAGTAGCTGCCGGAAGCTACATTTTTAATGTTGTACATGGATGTCTCAATTGCTTATATATACGTAACACAGTATCAAAAAATTAGTTTTGTCGATATCCCTGTATATTATTTTGTAGCATCTCAATTTATTTAATATACAGAACGCAGACAAAATTATACTTACGATAAGATTAGGCCGATAATTTCGGCCACATCACACATTAATTGCCAAAACAGTAAATTTGCCAACTTGGCAACTTTTTATAAACGTAAACATTGTCATTGACATTGACATTGTATTGAAATAAATGTAACACGATGACCTACGAACTGTACCTAAGACATAATAAATTTTAATCTTGAATTCAATTAAATTTATTGAAACAAAGGCTTTGTTATTAAAAGCTAGTATATCTCGATTAATTAGCTATAGTATTTATGCCAACAGCAAACTTCGCGCTTGTTATTATCCTTTTACTTCAATTACGGCACAAAAACCAATATCTTAGTATCTCTCATACATTCATGCAAGTTATACATAACTATCCATATCAATAAAACTCATTGCGGCTGTCTGCATGTGCACAGGCTACAATATGCGGGCCTTGAATAAATGAATAATTAAAATATTACAAAAAATTCTGTCAAATTCTGCGACACCTGTTGATGGTATACCGTCTGTTCACAGACTGTATATACTATGAGACTATACAGCACGCAAGTTATATTTTTATATCAGAAAAATGCTGTTTTTTATAGGACTATGCTTTTATTGCAGATTAAGTTTCATATAAAGATAGATTAGGGTTGAAATTATAGATTTAATATAAACGAGCGTGCTATAAATGTGGAACCAGAGCTGTAGACGAACATTTATATATAGACATGATATTGCATGTTACTGCACGGGGATATTATATTTCATGTTATTTCTAAAATAACGTGTCTGCCTATACTGGCTACAGTCATAGAAAGAATAAAATATAGTTGTACAACTAAATTTCGTGACATAAATTGAGCTACGAGATTTAAATTGAAATATAAGAAAATCATAAATAGAAATGCAAAAACTCGGGCCTCGTATGAAATGCAGCGAGTTGAAGCCCCGAAATAGAGTCTAAAATTGCATAGAAATAATACATACCCATGTTAAATCGTTTGCCCAAGGCCTGTTCTAAAATTTCGACCAGCACTCATACGCGTCGTCATATTTATTTATGGGTGCTGATTTTGCTGACTTGCAGTTCTCACGAAAATTTGAAGATACGGGGGTGCTAATGGCACGAATCCCCATATTTGTTATCTCAGTAAACTTTTAACATTGCTGTAATGTAGACGTTTAAATATTGATCGTCAAGCTAAATCAAATTTATGAAATTTTACTGTTGCTATAAATATCGTTTTAACTTAAAAATTCTCCAACCTTGAAGTTTTTTTAGATATGGCATTGAGATAACATTTGTAACTCCCCCCCGGAAAGTTTACTCTATGTATCTCTCGCTTGAATTTCGCCACTCATCACAATAGTGCAACGTTTCCATGGAAACATTGCACTAAAAACAACATGAGATGGATTGCGATCAATTTTCAGGTTAATTCCGTAACGATAGTTGATGGGATAATTTAATTTTCTTTGTTTTGAGTCACGAGTGGCAGTCCAAACATAACACAGCTTTTCAGGTAAATTCGCAAGTTCAGAATTAATTACAATGCCATTTAAGAGCGGTTGTCTCTAATTGTCAGGTAAGACGTGTAAAATGAGAAAATTCAAAATCCTTCAAACTTTGTCAGAATGTAGGCCTATATGAAGTATTAATGTTGTGAAAGTTTTATTTCGATCGGATAAATATTGAAGGAGAGAGACGTCGAAATTGGTTTTCCCAGGTCACTTTCGGTTTTTAGAGGTCATTTTACGGCACTACCAAAATCGCTCTATTTTGCACGATAGTGGCAATATTTCATAAAACATGATTTCGTTTTATAAATTAGAGTTATTTATTGATTAGCAGACGAAATTTAGAGACATTTCTGTAAAAAGTGAATATTTTACAGATTTTCTTAATGTTTTTTTATTTTCGAACCTCTTTATTATATGCTATATTAGGCAGCAAATATCTCCATTGTTACATCGATTCAGACAAAAATTTCATAACCAGGTCAAAGAAATATGTTTTCGCTTGCTATTGATGAAATAAAATTTTGGGCAACTTAGAATTGAATTTTTGACGAATTTTTTCGTAACCCCTATTTGACCCGAATAACCGTATGTTATATAATCAGCGTCGAGTCATGTAGTTCAATAAATAACCAAAGAGCTCGTCAAAAGCGTTTATTTCTTCGAGTAAACAAGCCTAGGCCTATAAAACTACCTTAGCTAAAGCTGTACGATTGGTTAGAAGCATTTAGGTCTAAATCACACTGTTTACAGTCACTTATTGTTCAGGTAATGCCCGATAGCCGGTGCGGCTGATTTGGCAGATTTGGTTTCAATTTCACAATTATATTTTATCAGGAATATGCCGCGATAAGTATATGGCTAGTATATTTTCTCTCCCCCTCCTATAAACATGTGTTCTCTCACGACTCGTCGTGCTTATATACTTTTCGTACATAAATAGTGCACGCGCTTTTTGTCAAAAACATCGCATTGTTTTGACGTATTTTTAGTCGTATTTCCGGTTGCGTTAGCTCATTTCGAGCCTCGAGCTCACAGCCGGACAAGAAATGGAAATACCGTGATAAAAGATGGAAATTTGAAGATACAGGCTTGCATATCACTCTGAATAGTGTTTTTGATGGGGATTCGAACAAGACTATTACAAAGGCAATATGTGTGAAGGGGCCGAAGTTATTTTCGGCGAAAGGTATGGCTATAGTCTATATTTTTGTTCAGACAATCGCGTATTAATTTCGCGTTAGACTTTCAAACTCCCATAAATCGCTACAGTGTTAATAATGACTATAACTATCGTTCGTAGTTAGTTGATCTTTTATATCTGAATCGAATGGTGGTATTCCTGTCTTCATAGCGTGCACTGAATCGAAGATATGAAATTTCTAGCCGTCAACCTCTCGAGGACGACCTCGCAAAGAGTTTTAATATAATTAATATTAAAACTGGATTCTTTCAACGTGATGTCATGCCAAAAGGTGTCTTTTCTATTTTTAAAAAAGACCCTCTATTGATTTGTGATTTGGTAATATTAATTACAGTTGTACATTTTATTATTTTGTTATTGCTCAGTAGACAATAACTTTGAATTTGTTCTGAGAAAACAGTCCAACTTCAGACCAAACTTCTACGCTGTTAGTATAAACTGGCCATCACTTTTAAAACAGCAACAAGATAAAGACAACGTGTACGGGTGAGTTATCCATGAAATAAATAGTTGGTTTACAAAATGAAATCAGTCTTCGTGGATAAACATGAGTTACAAAAAATCTCTCCTGTATGCGTTAAATGCTACATGTAGGGATTTCCCCCGGTATATTCCTTCTCTTTTGTATGGCTGTTTGTTATACGCGTCTCTTAATTGTCACTGACACTGGGTATGGCTGTGGGTTTCAAAATACTATTCAGACCTTTTTCGACCTCAATTTTCAGAACACGTTGCTCAATTCCAGCATTCCGGGGCCCCCTCTGGGAAAGTTGGGCCCCCTTTCAAGTTGACTTTTTTTTACTGAGTACTGCCTGTGTTCTAGATGCATCATCCAGAAATGGGTGGATAAATGTAATTGAAATTGGACCAAAAGTATATGACAGATAACGCGTAATCACAAACAGCCATACAAAAGAGAAGAAATATACCGGGGGAAATCCCTACATGTACAGGAGAGATTATTTATAACTCATTAATTTATCCACGAAGACGGAATTCATTTTGTAAACCAACTATTTATTTCATAGATAACTCACACGTACACGTGCACATTGTCTTTATATCCTTGCTGTTTTAAAAGTGATGGCCAGTTAAAACTACTAAATAAGTTTGGTCTGAAGTTTGAGAACAAATTAAATTCAAACTTATTGAGCAATAACAAAATAATCAAACCGGCATACAACTGTAATAAATATTACCAAATCATAAATCAACAGAGGGTCTTTTTTAAAAATAGAAAAGACACCTTTTGGCATGACATCACGGTGAAAGAATCCAGCTTTAATATTACAGTAATTATATTAATTAAATTAATTAAGTAAACGAATTACAATTTCAACGTAAACTGACTCCGATGTTTTTGACAAAAAGCGCGTGCACTATTTATGTTCGAAAAGTTATAAGCACGACGAGTCGTGAAAGAACACATGTTTATGGGAAGGGGAGAGAAAATATACTTGCTATACTTATCGCGGCATATCTCTGATAAAATATAATTAAAACAAATCCGCCAAATCAGCGGCGCCGGCTATACAATATATTATAGGCATTACGTGAACAATAAACGACCGTAAACAGCGTGATTTAGACCTAAATGCTTTCTGCCAGACGTACAGCTTTAGCTAAGGTAGTTTTATAGGCCTAGGCTTGTTTACTTGAAAAAATTAACGCTTTTGACAAGCTCTTTGGTTAATTATTGAACTACATGACTCGACGTTGATTACATAACATACGGTTATTCGGGTGAAATATGGGTTACGAAAAAAATCGTCAAAAATTCAATTCTAAGTTGCCCAAAAATTTTATTTCATCAGTAGCAAGCGAAAATATATTTCTTTGTCCTGGTTATGAATATTTTGTCTGAATCGATGTAACAATGGAGATATTCGCTGCCTAATATGGCATATAATAAAGAAGTTCCAAAATAAAAAAACATTAAGAAAATCTGTAAAATATTCACTTTTAAAAGAAATGTCTCTAAATTTCGTCTGCTACTCAATAAATAACTCTAATTTATAAAACGAATTCATATTTTGTGAAATATTCCCATTATCGTGCAAAATAGAGCGATTTTGGTAGTGCCGTAAAATTACCTCGAAAAACCGAAAGTGGCCTGGGAAAACCAATTTCGACGTCTCTCTCGTTCAATATTTATCCGATCGAAATAAAACTTTCACAACATTAATACTTCATATAGGCCTACATTCTGACAAAGTTTGAAGGATTTTGAATTTTCTCATTTTACACGTCTTACCTGACTATTACAGACAACCGCTCTTAAAGTCTTTTCGATAGGAATGTTAGATGGTTTAACTTTTGAACACCACCAGACTATTGTTGCAAAAAGCATAAAGAATTGAACTCCGTCCTTTATCCAGGTTAGTTGCAAGCAATTTCTTCTTTTAATTGGCGGCGCACGCGCACCAATACCGTTCCAAACTTTAAACTTGCGCTGCGTCATCAGCATACTGGTGGCGTATTGACTTGTGTAACGTCTGCAGCAACCGTCCAACTTTTAAAACAGTTTTCAAATTGACAGAAACGCACAACAAAACACAAGAAAACAAGCACAGAAGCAGACAAAACTTTCTACAAACTTCAAAATCCTGGGGACGAATGTCTTGCCAAACACCAAAGATGATATTTTCGAGGAAAACTTTAGTAAATAAACTCGAAATGCGAACAAAAATGGCAGAGCACTTTCGTGCCAGACCGCGCGCGCGCACGTCACGTCACGTCGTCAATTGTTGTCGGTTTTAAAATTTTTTTCGCAATTATTTTCGGACGCATTCAAAAACATGTTAAAACGTTAATTACGCAAGTGATATTTGAGCTTTTTTATATCTCACTTTCATTTCGCGCTTGAAACTTATATATTTTATTATTTCTTGCTTAGGCATTAATCTAAACTAAAAATTATCATGACCACTTAAAGCAAACAAAATATTGTGATTTTTTAAAAAGGGCTTGCAGACAGCGGATTAAATATTCGTGTTAGTATGCTGGCGGTAAGTAAATTTTTTTCTCAAAAATGCAACGGTATCAGGTATCCAATCTATAGCAGCTACTGAGTATTATGACACATCTACTAAAATAAAGAATAAAATCTTTGGGCAGTGTGTTTTTCGCCTGACAAGCGCGTCATAAATATAGTCAACTTTCGCTAATTCGACTAATTATAAGCTATAATTTGTTAATGTATTTACTTAAATTTTTCGCCTTAAAACATTATGTTTCAAATATGGCTGTTTTTTGTATGAAGAGTGAGTTATAAATACGCCAGCAATTGTATATGCTTGAAATTATATATTTATGGGTATCATTAGGTACTACATGGTATATATAAACAAAAAATTTATAAGAAAGTGCGGGAAAGTATATGTGTGCCAATTAGGAATGCATTGAAAGAGCACTTTTTTCTCATCGTATAGTGCAGATTTATTTTCTCACTGTAAAATTAAACTAATATTTTATACATGTTTAATATTTTCATGTTTTTTAAGAACTGCAATTACATACTGATCTCGTTAAGGTCTTGTCACACTATTGCGTATGAGAGAAACGTATGAGTAGCGTAAACCATGCATGCATGGATACGTCCACATACTCGAAAAATTTTTAAGCATGCTTACCTCGCCGTATAGAGCGTTTGCACATGACGTCACAGCCGCCATGTTGGTGTTCCAATTCAAAAGAATTTTAATTAGACTCTTTTGTCTGGAACACCAACATGGCCGCCATGGGTTTTGTTGAGTTGGTCCCTGGAGAATAAGTAGTTTCCTAACGCTACGCAGTGTAGTAGGAAAGTATATTTATTACGTCAAAGCAGTACTCCCAAGTGGGCGGTGTCGTCTGAAGCAAGAGTATAAAAGAGCGTTGCTGTTCAAGAGAAGTATCTCGGTCAATGCAGTTGATAGCTCAACTTGGGTCGACTAAAAGAAACTGGAACTAATTTTCTATGCTTCACGTTTTACAACTTTATAACTTTGCTGTGCGGGCAGCTAGTTGGTGCCTTGGTCCCGACCAGATTTCCTGCCAAGAAGTGGAAGGTTTTTTCTGGCCTCCCGGTACCAGCTATGAACATGATTGATTGTAATGGCAAATACGTGATTCTTCACGTGATTCTTATCATGTCAGAGAAAAATATGTATATGGTGTCGATAAATTGTTGCTGTTTAGCATGTTTCGTCAGATAAGCATAGACAGTGTTATTTCACATCAAAATCTTAGGACAGAAACAATGCAATCAACTGATGTTATACTATTAACTTACTTTATCAAAAATTGTTATACGTCATATTATAATTGAATGAATAAAGAGCTGTCGTCTACGTCAGTGGGCCACAGCAAGTGTTCTCCAATGTCTGCGTGAGTAGTAAGTAAAATGCCGATTGCTAATCACTTTTTTCATGGGATATTAACCATTTTTGTAATTCTGGACGATCTACAACACCAAATTTATTGTACCAATTTTTGACTCAGACGACCGTTTTAATCCCACTTTCGTGATGTATTTGCTATCGACAACCTACAAACTACCTTTCACAGACCCTCTCCATTAACTTTTTTTTACTATGTTGATTTTTACGTCCTAGACCCTCTACAACCACTAAAATAGCTAATATTGCAGGAAAAAAGTGATTGGCAATCGCCTCAACTCTTTTAATGATTTTGCGAAAACGGCGATTTTACATGAGCTAGAGCCATTTCAAGCACATTTTTTCTCACTGGTCAAAACTAGCCCGACTCCCGAGAAATCGCTGTTTTACTTCTCCTAGAGTCCTTTCAACACACATTTTTTTGTTTTTTTGTTTTTTCTCTTTAAATTACAAATTGAGGTCACTTTTTAACGCTTCAACAACCTCTCTATTTATCTCCCTTATTTTATGTAGGAAACATCTCTTCAATCTGCTTTAACAACCTAACCGATGATTATCCTTGCCTGAACTCAGTTTTGCATGACCATATGCCAGACTTGCTACCCCATTAGTAGGAACCTTTTATCATCAAAAGCACTCAGTGAGACCTTGTTCAAATTGTACGTTCCAACATCATGACAGTTGCTTCTTATAACATTCATACTATGTTTCATTTGAAGTCCATCCACCAATGTTCTCTTATAGTCCTCATGAGTTATGAACTTTTTAATTACATACTTCTTCACACCTTTAGCTGTCTTACCAACTTTACCATCATCTTTCTCATAACTATACATTTTTGACCGCAACCCAATAAATTCTGTTATAGGTACACCGCTAGCCTCATCCTTAAATTTACCAATGACTTTCTTATTAGTCTCATCATAGAAGGGCGAGTCTTTACTATAGCCGCTGGTATCATACTTATCAGAAAACTTCGCCGCATCTTTATACGCATCATCAGTATGCAACCTATACATTAGACTATCTGTATCTGTGAAAAGTAACTTTACTCGGCTACCATAAATCTTTCTTATATGATTATAGTGAAAGTCATACATCACCGTTTTCGACAGATCGAGAATACTCATTCCAATATAAACAGGCTTGTTCAAGAGTAACACCTCCTTTACCTTCTTAACCGCAACTAAACCGCCACTCAACACTTTAGCCCTTATGAAACATGGTGAAGCAACCGCTTCCTAAGATTCTCCATGGTTTTTCCAAAGACAGAGTTATTCATCAGCTTGAAGAAGTTCTTCTGAAAGTCATTCTTAGCAACTGTTCTCATATCAGTGTTAAACTGAATGTAACCTTCCAACCACTTTGAATGGGCAAACTCAAGCGCTCTCCTTATTCTCACCAACTTCATTCCCAACTTCATGTACAACTTAAGATTATTCACATGACATACATAGGAGGTCTTCCCAGTCAGTGTGGTTACTAACTTTTTCACACCAGTTGACCTACCACCATGAGCCTCTTTTATAGACTTTGCGTATCCACTCAACATATCATCAGTGATTTCCATTTTCTCTGGGGCTAGAGGATAATCACTATGTAACTTATGGAGTTCACTAGGGTATTCAAGATCAACCTCTAATATCAAGCGTTTCTCTTTACCTTTACCATAATCTTCAAGCTTAACCTTGTCAGCATCAATCCACCTAAATTTTCCATATGGTAGCTCCTCACTCATCGCATGTCCGTAGAGGTTATTTGCGTCAAGGTACATTATGTAGCTACTTGGTTGGTCAGGATCATAGTCACTCATGTACTTATTATTTGCTTTTGCGTATCTATGACCAATGTAACTTACACCTCCTCTCATTCCCTTTTCAATAAACTGGTACATGTCAACATTAGACAACAAATCCAGTTTTACACCTGTTCTTTTCAACATTGCATCCCAACTAAGACCGGGAGCGGATATGTAATGTGCAGGATCCAACTTATAACTTTCAAGACAAACTCTTCTAAAGTCTTCAAATACATCCGCCAACAGCAACACATCAGTCTTAAGATATAAGTCATGATAATCACCTAAATTCTTACAGCTAAACTTCTCATACATCTTACACGCTCTAAGGTAATCATCATCGTTAACTTCCTCCTCATACAGTGAACTATAGAATGCAGATTTCTCAGGCAAGCTCTTCTCACTAAATTTCTCCCAACAACTCATATACTCGTAAGGGTAAACTCCCTTCTTAAGTAACATCTCAAGCTCCTGACCTTGCCATTCACACTGCATTCTCTTGAAACGGTCATCACTAAGATTACTCACAAGATTTTCAAGACTACTACTCATGAACTGCATCGAGTCAATGAAGACCAACTGCTTACCCACTGTGAAGGACATATATTTTTGCATGTTGTTGGCGATCACCTCTATCTTCTCACCAAGTTCCTTTACACCTTGCATAATAAAGTTACCATCATAGCCACGTAGATTGTGAAACACAACAGGAATCTTTCCAGTCAACTTATGGTTCAAGTTACATGAGTTATGAGCCGCACCTCTGAACTTACTGGTAACATGACAATGGTCAAGAACCTTCTTATCGCTCTCACCAAACTTACCACCACAGATGTGACACTCAGTTGCCTTTTCAAGTTTATCATAGTCTTTCACACTCATGACAACTTCCTTGTTGAACTCACTTTGTATAATTCCATTACACTTCTCAACTTCACCCAACAACTCACTCAGAGATCTACTAATTGCGCCAACTCCCCTATAGCTTTTATATTCACCATCATACTTACCATCATAGTAACACACTCTCTTAAACCCGTAACTACACATCTCATGATCATGCGTTTTACGCAGGCATTCACCCTTCCCGTCAACTGGGATCAGCAATGATTCAAAGTCAGCATATATCACAAACTGAACAGGTAACTGTCTCCTATGATTTTTGAATACAACCTTGCTTCCTCTCTTTGGCATCATAGATTTCTGCGTTCCATTTACCTCTCTACATGTCCCACTATGTTTATCCAATCGTTCCTGTGAGTTGAACCCATTGAGGCAACCGAGACAGAAGAATCTCTTATGCTGAGTTTTACTTAAACTGTTAAGTAACATGCTGATATCCCTCACAAGAACATAGTGATTATTTCCCTCCCCATCATCCATCAGCAACAACTCCATATGATCCTTATAGTCAAACTTTGAAGTATACCTTGGAAAGAACATCCTCTCTCCCCTCAACATGATCACAGTAATTCTAAGCTCATTCGCCTTCTCAATCTTTGGAATGTCATTTATCCTCACAGGGAACTTGATACCATTATAGTTGAGTGTCTTAGCAAACTTCCTATCAGACCTAGTAATCTTAGTAGCTCTTTGACCTGGACGCAGATGTCTTACATGACACCACCTAAAGCACTCGTCGTCGTCCACGTTTTCAATATTGATCAATCCATTCATATTAGATTTCAGAGGAGCAGGTAACTCGATAAATGAACTGCCAACCAACGGATTGAAATGAACAACGTCAACCTCATGTTTCTCAACCAAGATCACCCTCCAATTGCTACCACGATCCTGGTAAGATTCGATCTTAGCTATAATTCTTTCAGCGCTAAGTCTCACCGCATCCTCAACTTCGCTTGCATTCATAACAGTAATTGTCTCACTTTCCATTGGAAGATCAACATCTGTGTTCTTACTGAGAAGGCCTTTTACCATTTTCAATACAAGAGTCTCAACAAACTTTACTGGTCGGTCAAGAACAGATTTGAGCAGGTCACCAACAATCTTACGACTAACATCAAGTTGTCCACCGAAGTCAGGTCTACTTATTCCCAAAGTGAACTTCTCAATTGTCCCCTCATCACTTTCACCAGTCTTTTCATAGTTTATAGTCTTATGCAGTGTTGGGGTAGCTGTTCCACCTATAACCTCAATTCCTTCCTCACCAACTCTCATTGCCGCAATATTTCTCTTTAGCTTCCTGTTATCATTTCTAAGCACACCAAGACTCTTCTTATTAAATTCACCTTCCTTCTTAAGCTTTCTGTTATCCTTCTCAAGAGCCTTCAGCTTCTTCTCACTAACTTCACCCTTCTTTTTCAATTCCTTTATTTCCTTATCACGAGCCTCATCTTTTGCCGTCATAGCAGCCATTTGAGCCTGCATCTTAGCCATCATCTCACCGTAAGCCTTCATCATATCAACAGGATTTTCCATCTTCTTCTCTATACTATATATATCAACTTTATTCTCATATTGATTTTCCATTTTCACTCTATACTATACATGATGTTTAATGTAATTATCTATTTTCACAAACACCCTCCACAATACCTATTTCATCTATAAGGAGACCCCTCACTATCAATTTCAGTCTTTACAGAGCAATTATCCAGTTTCCTGTTTAGATCAAGGTTTTGAAGCTCAGTCCGCTCTTCCAACTTCCTTTTTAGCCATTCCCTATAGTATTTACACTCATGCGGCTCCCAATCAAGGACAGGATAAATTTTACCAAATAAAGTATCTTCATTCTGTAAAATTATATCTTTACTCTTAGAATCAGTAATAGCTGTATCAATACCAAGTCTACTACAAGTTCTCAATACGACGCTCTTCAGCTGAGGCATTCTAACTCATCCATCTCATCTACAACCTTTCTAACCTTCATAAGACAATCTAATAGCGTATGGCAGTCTTCCCCACTATGATGCTTTTCCAACAATTTCTTAAACTCGAATTTTTTCAAACCATCCATCTTTACTATACCATAGGTTTAACTATCTTCCTCTCCCACATATTACAAATCCGTCATTCAGCCCATTATTTTCCCTATACCAGAACTCCGTCCAACGATCACCCCAATCTATCCACTCAGGTCCAATACAAATATCCCCCAATTCCCTCACTCTTCGCTTTAGATCTTTGTACCACTCATGGAAATATTTGCAGTTGCTCACATCAAGGCTAATAGTAAGAACAATTACACCATAGAACAGGAATTCATGCTTAGCCTTTATATTAGATGGATACAGATCCCGTAATCGTTCATTAGGCTCAATTCCAAGCGCACTACAGACTCTTACAAGATGGAATCTCATACTAGGGCAACACTTAAGATTTTCACTGTTCAGTAGCTTTCTAATCTTAACAATCACATTAACAACTTCATCTACATCAGACTTCTTCACATACTTGCTTACACATCTTCTTATCTCTGAGAGATAAACAGTTTTTGTCTTCCCAGAGGCCACCTCATACTTCCCTGCCTCAATATTATAAGTCCTTCGTGAAATACTGATACTATTCTTTAGGAACACATACTTATTATCACAACAGTAACTCTTGGAATACATTTCTTTATCTATACTATACATGATGTTTTAACTTATTCCTACAGGTGAAACCAGGTTGTCTTCCATAAGAGGAACGGAGGATTTCCCTCTTCATACTTATTATACCAGAGGCAATAGGGAATTTCCAATCTTAGCAGGAGAAGCACGAATTGTTATTCACACCGCAAAAGTTTACAAGCTGGTCACACAAGTCCCGCAATCAAACCGCAAGATTTAGGGAATTCCCCAACAGTGAAATACTAAGTCGCAACTAATATCGCAAGATTTAAGGGAAATCCCCCCATCAGGTCGCAACTAATATCGCAAGATTCAAGGGAAACCCCCAACTTAACATAATCACCTCACAACCTCAAATAATTACCACCAACCTGAACGATTCAGTCACCATCTACATAGATAACTCACAGATGTTCATAGATGACCTTGTAAGTAAATTCAAGACATCTTCATAGATCACTCACAGATGACTACATAGATGTCTACACAGATCGCTCACAGATGACTCATAAATGTTCATAGATGACCTTGTAAGTAAATTCAAGACATCTACATAGATTGCTCACAATGACTACATAGATGTTCATAGATGATCTTGTAAGTAAATTTAAGACATCTACATAGATCGCTCACAGATGACTACATAGATGTTCATAGATGGTCTTGTAAGTAAATTTAAGACATCTACATAGATCGCTCATAGATAACTCATAGATGCTCATAGATGACCTTACAAGTAAATTTAAGACAACTTCATAGATAACTCATAGATAACTCATAGATGCTCATAGATAACCTTGCAAGTAGATTCAAGACATCTTACAAGTAGATTCAAGTTATCTTAGTAGATATCTTGCAAGTAGATTTAAGACATCTTACAAGTAGATTCAAGTTATCTTACAAGTAAATGCTCATAGATATCTTACCAACAGATTCAAGTTATCTTATAAGTAAATTTTAAGTAGATTTAAGTTATCTCACAAGTAAACTTCAAGTAAACCTCAAGTAAACCTAATGGTGATCGTTGGACGGAGTTCTGGTATAGGGAAAATAATGGGCTGAATGACGGATTTGTAATATGTGGGAGAGGAAGATAGTTAAACCTATGGTATAGTAAAGATGGATGGTTTGAAAAAATTCGAGTTTAAGAAATTGTTGGAAAAGCATCATAGTGGGGAAGACTACCATAAGCTATTAGATTGTCTTATGAAGGTTAGAAAGGTTGTAGATGAGATGGATGGAGTTAGAATGCCTCAGCTGAAGAGCGTCGTATTGAGAACTTGTAGTAGACTTGGTATTGATACAGCTATTACTGATTCTAAGAGTAAAGATATAATTTTACAGAATGAAGATACTTTATTTGGTAAAATTTATCCTGTCCTTGGTTGGGAGCCGCGTGAGTGTAAATACTATAGGGAATGGCTAAAAAGGAAGTTGGAAGAGCGGACTTAGCTTGAAAACCTTGATCTAAACAGGAAACTGGATAATTGCTCTGTAAAGACTGAAATTGATAGTGAGGGGTCTCCTTGATAGGTGAAATAGGTATTGTGGAGGGTGTTTGTGAAAATAGATAATTACATTAAACATCATGTATAGTATAGAGTGAAAATGGAAAATCAATATGAGAATAAAGTTGATATATATAGTATAGAGAAGAAGATGGAAAATCCTGTTGATATGATGAAGGCTTACGGTGAGATGATGGCTAAGATGCAGGCTCAAATGGCTGCTATGACGCAAAAGATGAGGCTCGTGATAAGGAAATAAAGGAATTGAAAAAGAAGGGTGAAGTTAGTGAGAAGAAGCTGAAGGCTCTTGAGAAGGATAACAGAAAGCTTAAGAAGGAAGGTGAATTTAATAAGAAGAGTCTTGGTGTGCTTAGAAATGATAACAGGAAGCTAAAGAGAAATATTGCGGCAATGAGAGTTGGTGAGGAAGGAATTGAGGTTATAGGTGGAACAGCTACCCCAATACTGCATAAGACTATAAACTATGAAAAGACTGGTGAAAGTGATGAGGGGACAATTGAGAAGTTCACTTTGGGAATAAGTAAACCTGACTTCGGTGGACAACTTGATGTTAGTCGTAAGATTGTTGGTGACCTGCTCAAATCTGTTCTTGACCGACCAGTAAAGTTTGTTGAGACTCTTGTATTGAAAATGGTAAAAGGCCTTCTCAGTAAGAACACAGATGTTGATCTTCCAATGGAAAGTGAGACAATTACTGTTATGAATGCAAGCGAAGTTGAGGATGCGGTGAGACTTAGCGCTGAAAGAATTATAGCTAAGATCGAATCTTACCAGGATCGTGGTAGCAATTGGAGGGTGATCTTGGTTGAGAAACATGAGGTTGACGTTGTTCATTTCAATCCGTTGGTTGGCAGTTCATTTATCGAGTTACCTGCTCCTCTGAAATCTAATATGAATGGATTGATCAATATTGAAAACGCGGACGACGACGAGTGCTTTAGGTGGTGTCATGTAAGACATCTGCGTCCAGGTCAAAGAGCTACTAAGATTACTAGGTCTGATAGGAAGTTTGCTAAGACACTCAACTATAATGGTATCAAGTTCCCTGTGAGGATAGATGACATTCCAAAGATTGAGAAGGCGAATGAGCTTAGAATTACTGTGATCATGTTGAGGGGAGAGAAGATGTTCTTTCCAAGGTATACTTCAAAGTTTGACTATAAGGATCATATGGAGTTGTTGCTGATGGATGATGGGGAGGGAAATAATCACTATGTTCTTGTGAGGGATATCAGCATGTTACTTAACAGTTTAAGTAAAACTCAGCATAAGAGATTCTTCTGTCTCGGTTGCCTCAATGGGTTCAACTCACAGGAACGATTGGATAAACATAGTGGGACATGTAGAGAGGTAAATGGAACGCAGAAAACATGATGCCAAAGAGAGGAAGCAAGGTTGTATTCAAAAATCATAGGAGACAGTTACCTGTTCAGTTTGTGATATATGCTGACTTTGAATCATTGCTGATCCCAGTTGACGGGAAGGGTGAATGCCTGCGTAAAACGCATGATCATGAGATGTGTAGTTACGGGTTTAAGAGAGCGTGTTACTATGATGGTAAGTATGATGGTGAATATAAAAGCTATAGGGGAGTTGGCGCAATTAGTAGATCTCTGAGTGAGTTGTTGGGTGAAGTTGAGAAGTGTAATGGAATTATACAAAGTGAGTTCAACAAGGAAGTTGTCATGAGTGTGAAAGACTATGATAAACTTGAAAAGGCAACTGAGTGTCACATCTGTGGTGGTAAGTTTGGTGAGAGCGATAAGAAGGTTCTTGACCATTGTCATGTTACCAGTAAGTTCAGAGGTGCGGCTCATAACTCATGTAACTTGAACCATAAGTTGACTGGAAAGATTCCTGTTGTGTTTCACAATCTACGTGGCTATGATGGTAACTTTATTATGCAAGGTGTAAAGGAACTTGGTGAGAAGATAGAGGTGATCGCCAACAACATGCAAAAATATATGTCCTTCACAGTGGGTAAGCAGTTGGTCTCCATTGACTCGATGCAGTTCATGAGTAGTAGTCTTGAAAATCTTGTGAGTAATCTTAGTGATGACCGTTTCAAGAGAATGCAGTGTGAATGGCAAGGTCAGGAGCTTGAGATGTTACTTAAGAAGGGAGTTTACCCTTACGAGTATATGAGTTGTTGGGAGAAATTTAGTGAGAAGAGCTTGCCTGAGAAATCTGCATTCTATAGTTCACTGTATGAGGAGGAAGTTAACGATGATGATTACCTTAGAGCGTGTAAGGTGTATGAGAAGTTTAGCTGTAAGAATTTAGGTGATTATCATGACTTATATCTTAAGACTGATGTGTTGCTGTTGGCGGATGTATTTGAAGACTTTAGAAGAGTTTGTCTTGAAAGTTATAAGTTGGATCCTGCACATTACATATCCGCTCCCGGTCTTAGTTGGGATGCAATGTTGAAAAGAACAGGTGTAAAACTGGATTTGTTGTCTAATGTTGACATGTACCAGTTTATTGAAAAGGGAATGAGAGGAGGTGTAAGTTACATTGGTCATAGATACGCAAAAGCAAATAATAAGTACATGAGTGACTATGATCCTGACCAACCAAGTAGCTACATAATGTACCTTGACGCAAATAACCTCTACGGACATGCGATGAGTGAGGAGCTACCATATGGAAAATTTAGGTGGATTGATGCTGACAAGGTTAAGCTTGAAGATTATGGTAAAGGTAAAGAGAAAGGCTTGATATTAGAGGTTGATCTTGAATACCCTAGTGAACTCCATAAGTTACATAGTGATTATCCTCTAGCCCCAGAGAAAATGGAAATCACTGATGATATGTTGAGTGGATACGCAAAGTCTATAAAAGAGGCTCATGGTGGTAGGTCAACTGGTGTGAAAAAGTTAGTAACCACACTGACTGGGAAGACCTCCTATGTATGTCATGTGAATAATCTTAAGTTGTACATGAAGTTGGGAATGAAGTTGGTGAGAATAAGGAGAGCGCTTGAGTTTGCCCATTCAAAGTGGTTGGAAGGTTACATTCAGTTTAACACTGATATGAGAACAGTTGCTAAGAATGACTTTCAGAAGAACTTCTTCAAGCTGATGAATAACTCTGTCTTTGGAAAAACCATGGAGAATCTTAGGAAGAGGGTTAACGTAAAGTTGATGGTTGACGGTGATAGGTTAAAGAAGGCGGTTGCTTCACCATGTTTCATAAG